ATAGAATATTAATGTGACGGTGGAGGGCAATGGATATACCTTGTACGGAAGACTGGGTAAATAGAGACTAAATACTAAATACCTCATAATTATAGGCCTCTTATCCTAAAGGCGGCTCATGAAATACCGCTGGCCGGACATTAAGGAATAAATAAATCTTACGATAAGATAGTGAGGCATTTTTATTGGCCAAGGGTAAAAGGAGACGTGGCGAATTATTGTAACATGTGCCATGCATGCCAAATGGCTGGAAAAGCCAACTCAAATGTACCAAAAGCCCCGTTGCAACCCATTCCTATAATTGAAGAACTATTAATGATCGATTGAGTAGGACCTCTACCTAAGACGACAAAGGGAAATGAATGTATATTTTCTATAATGTGTGCAACATCCATATTTTCTGAAGCCTTTTTCTCTAGCTACTGACTTCAGCTTTTCATCCAAGCGCCTATCATGCACAATCCAAGGGGCACTCGAAAGATTCCACACAACTTTGAAAAGTATGCGGGCATATTGCGTAGAAAATGAAAAGGAGTAAGACGAAGGACTATCATTCGTTATGTTCTCGTGGACTATCATTCCATGTCCTCGTGGATAAACCCGACGGATTGATACGTTTCTGTACCGAATAATAACAGACGTTTATCCCATTCCCAGAATGGATGATTGTATGGACAAATTTATAATGAAGTCTGATCTGCTGAAAGGATATTGGGCGGTACCTTTATTTGAACCGGCCAAGGCGATATCAGCATTTGTGACGCCAGAGGGGAGTTTTCAATACTGTGTCATGCCTTTTGGACTAAAGAATTCTCAAGCGACGTTTGTGAGAATGATGGATCAATGCCTAAGAGGCATAAAAGGCGTGGATACCTATGTAGATGACATAGTGATATACAACGACATCTGGAAAGAACACATGTCCATGATAAGAGAAGTATTTGTTAAGTTGCAACAAACCAATTTGATTGTCAAGTTTTGAAAAGTGAATTCGGTAAAGATATTGTAAAGTATTTGGGATATACTCTCAGGTATTGTAAAGTATCACCTCAGAAAGCCAAAATTAGCAAGATCGTGAATTATCCTCAACCAAAAATATAAGGGATATCCGAAAATTTTTAGATGTTGTGGGATATTATAGAACATTTTGTCCAAATTTCGCTGAACTTGCACATCCATTAAAGAAGAAGAGTTATTAGAAGTTAGAGTTATTAAAGAAGAAGAAAAAGAAATTTTCTTGGGTACTGGAATGTAGTGAATCATTTCTTAAGATTAAGGAGATGCTAATCATGGGACCTGTGTTGCAAGCTCTCCATTTCAATAAACCTTTTTCTCTAGCTACTGACGCTAGTGATAATGGTATCGGATCAGTTTTGTTGCAAGAGGATCCAAATGGAGAATTTCATGCTGTCAGTTATCATTCGAAAAAAAAACTTAACGGTCATCAGAAAAGATACTCAACGATCGAGAAGGAGGCTCTCGCACTAATCAATAGTTTGAAACATTTCGAAATATATCTGACAGTTTCAGCTAGTCCTATAACGGTGTATACGGATTAAAAAATAACAACCGAAGATTGTTATCCAAGTGCTTCGGTTCTTATTTTTCGTTTTGTGAAGGAATACAATTTGGATGTAAAACATGTCGCGGGTCGACATAACCCCTTGGCAGACGCATTATCCAAAATATAAAATGATCCTTTCTGGACGGAAGAAACCTAACGAGATTATCTGAATGTAAACTTCGCATAGAGAAAGCCGAATCCACCTATAACACAGGGTAGTTCACATTCAAACCCAGTTATATCCTTTTATACTTCACAAAAAACAATTGCCTACTTACTTTATATACATTAATCAGATTGTTATCCTTATCTTAATTGCCATATTCACAACGTTTCGGCTGTTGCACGCCCCGGCCTAATCATTGGAATTTCGAACCGAAACCTTTATTTCGTCCACCGGGGTAGATTGTTCTAGTTCCACGTGCCATGCCTCTTCCGGATGTCTCAGTTATTTCCCTTTAACTTAACTCTCGAAGTATTGGTTCACTACTGCCTGGTATTGAACTCACAACTCCGGGTCTAGTCATTGGATCTAACCTCAAGGATAGTGGATAAAGACGTTGGCAACAACCTCGACGATTGTTAACATCTGCTTGACGGACACTGAACTCTTAGAGTCAACCTTTTTATAAGAACTGTCGATATCTTGACTCCAAAACACAGTTAAATAATATGTGGATTGTTTTGACATTATTGAAATTTATGTGTTATATGCCTCATCCACCGCTTGCAAACCTAAACAAATTCCTTCTTTTTTATTTTCTCTTTTTCTGTTCTCACATTCATGTTATTAAACTGTTTATGTTAAATTCGCTCAATGTGTTCGTTGTCGTTTTTTTACTGGTTATTGTATTTTGCGTGTATCGTTCCTATCATGTAGACATTCTTTACTCATAGGAATCCAGGAAATCCTATCCCGAGCCAAATCTTACTTGGTTTAAGTACAAATTTTATTTATGTCTGAGACCAAGAGCGTGACAATATATATATATATATATATATATATATATATATATATATATATATATATATTGCCCTACTGACGGCCACGCCTTGTTCTCACCAGAATTGCTTGAAATAATCTGACATAAAGGTACTTCCCTGGTCATAGTGCATGTAGGCAGGTAATGCAAAGATGGCGAAAAGAGAACAGAGGACTTGAATCACAATTGTCAATGTCATATCTGAACGAATGGAAAATATGAGTACTTGTCGATAATTGTCCGTAGGTACTTATTCCTCGTTTTTGACGGAAGTGGTTCCTTAAAATCCAGGGCAAGTCTTTCAAAACGTTGAGTGGTTTTTATAATTGTTCTGGTTCTAGGCATGTAGAACCTAGTCTTGATCTCTGCAGATATTTGACAGGTCTTTGACATGGCCCCCTTCACATTTTCAACCGAGAAGGGCAAGTTTCTAATTTGAACCATTCTCACACACCCAAGTGGCACAATTTCTGATGCAGATCATCTCGCCAGGTAGTTGAGCTGCACACCCTTCAAAGCGCTTGGACTGCAGCATTTGTTTTCCCTTGGGTTGAACACATGGGAGTTCATTCACTTTAGAAGGCAGAACTCTTCTTCCACTTTTTCTTTGCTTCCTTTTGGGGAATAGTTAATATCTACCTAACCACCATGGGTGTCCACACACGTAGAAAATGGACAACATGTGCACAGCCTAACATGGAGAAAAAAGTAATTTTGATTCACCTAGCTATCAAAGGCTGGTAATGTTATTTCTTTGTTCATTGTTCTGCTAAACATTCTCGACAGTATGAACAATCATTTGTTTTGGGACATGTGTAAATCTTTTTAATATGTGTATGTAAGTGGTTTTTGCCTTATTAAATGTTTTGTTTGTTACGGGCATGTATCTCATCTTTCTATATTTACATTCAGTTTATCAATGGCTACACTAATACTAATATCAGTACTCAGTGTACAAGAAAGCATTATTCTTTCTATCACTAAATAGCAGTAAATTATGGCTGGCTTATAAATAATACTAATATTAGGATTGCTGGAGGGTAAGGTTTTCATTTTCTAGTAGATGCTGTCAAATACTTACTTAATGAATGCATCCCTTGTTGGCTGTGTACAGTATTGTTCAGTTGTAACAGTTGTAAAGGTGCAATCTTTGATATGTTTCTTTTGCTATGATTCATGAAGAAATTTGTCAATTGTTTTTGATGGCTGCTGGTGCCTCGTTGCGAGATGATGAGTGGCCATTTCATTTTCCTTTCCAATATACAGTTTGTCCAGAATTCCTTGGGCTTCTTCATATGTGGTTGCATCCGAGAAGTACTCATAGATGCTAGCTGATTCATACTTTAAGTAATGTAACTCATTTGGTGTCCTGTCGCACTATCCCTCTAAGAAGTTTTCAGAGGTTTTTTAACAATGACAGTACTCTCTTTCAGCGTTCAGAGAATTCAGAACTGTAGTTAGTTTGTCTGGGCAGAGTATAAATTCTATCATTGTCAAAAAGAATGTGTCAAATAAATTATAATATAGTAACAACTCTAATTATAAACTTATTTGACTCTTTCTGCTTTAGTGGTGGAAAAGGTTTATTATATTGTGCTGGATGATTACAAGCGAGAGGGTAGATGGGATGTGTTTATTTTCTTACCACAGTTGATAATATTGGACAGTTTCCTCATAGATGAAGAAGAGTCTTACTGACAAATGCTGAGAGTAACATGGACAAAGTATGTGAGGAGTAAGGATGTTTTCTTTGTAATTCCGATTTGGAACTACAAAGGAACTAATAAAAAAGAGTGATAAAATTCCTGAGAAACAATGAAGAAAGGCTTAAAGAATTTAGTACTCAGAGAAGGCAAGTGAAACAAGAAAAACCAGCAAGTAACCTATTTAAGAAGTCTGAGTAAATAAATAACAGAATAAGCACTATAAAGACAAAGCGGAGCAGTCAAGGGGGATGTTTTATAAATCATGATTGCCAGTGTTCTGAAAAGATATGGCACATAAAAGAATGACCTGTCAATACTGTTTCTATGTTAATATTTCAATAGGATATAAAAAGTAAAGTTTCTTTCATCACTGTTTTATGATACATGATTTATCCTAACAAACTCTTATACTGAATATTTGAGTTTGAGACTGATAATGAAGGTGATGTCTATTTGGTTAATTTGGAAACCTTTCAAATTTTAATAAAATTTTGTACTTTCAAAATTGTATTTGATTAGAAATTATTTTTATCTTTTTAGGTATGAGCAAAAAGTGACTTTATTATTAAATTGTATTTTTTTTATTTTTTAACTTCTTATCTTTTCAAAGCATTTAGAAACTCCTGTACAGTTTTTCAACAAACATGCATAAAATCTTTATAAAATATAATTACATCTGTACTGTAAGATGATACAAAAATAACACATAGCAGGATGCTTGGTTATTTTATTTCTTTTTATTTTCAGGATTTTTTGGTTTCATCAACTCTTATTTTGGATGCAAAATATGGGCGTAACATGAATTTTAGAAAGGAACGTGTAAAGTTAGTTGATGCTATTATTCTTTTTAAAAAAATCCTTTTATTAATACATTATTACTTAAGTGAGCCTAAGATACTGTTTATGTCTAAATGCATTTTAAAATAATTGAAAAAAAAAATATTTTAAAAATAATTTGCTTTGTATTTTGTAATAAATGAACATATATAGATACATAATTAAAGAAATGCTAATCGTTTTTTCAGTGATAGGATGTTGTTGTGATGGTTTGAACTATAAGTCAATGTTTAGGCTGCTAAAGAAGAATCCAGAGATACGAAATAGGGCTAATGAAAATATCATGCCACCAGCAATTTGGTATCTCTGGATCCTTCTTCCTCTTTTGTCTTTGAAGTTTAATGCCTGATACTTGTTTTTGTCAAAGGGAAAATGCTGAGTGAAATGAACTATTCTTGGCCTCTGATTTCACTTATATGTAGGACTCCTGCTTTAAATGCAGCTTTGTGCTCCACTCAAGTGGGTGCATAGTTTGCTTCTCTCTTCACTTAGAAATCTATGAATAGTAAAGCAAGATTTAATATACAGGTCTTCTGTCAGTTATTATGACTGGCAATTTCTAACCATTTCTAACCAATGTCAGACAAACAGTATGATTCTTATTGCAATGATGACCTTAATCAAATACGAGTAACTATCCTTTAACTGAGAATGAGATTTTCCAAAAACAGGATTTCCTCACAAGAAAATAATCACTAAACAAAATATTTTACTCTGCCCATCTTGTTGTTCTTCACAACTTAATCTTCATCTGGTGTCAGGAGGGAAAAATATTAAGACTATGGAATTCTTACAATTGCCAACATGTCCTAAACAGGAAATATCAAGAATTTTAAAACCAGGTTACAAATATTTAAAGTCTACTTTGTGACATCAGAAAAAATGTCTAAACCTGATAGCATTAAATGTGCACTGTAACTGTAAGTCCTATACATGACATGGGAAATGCAGCTTCTGTCAGTACAGCCACACTCAAACATTAGATCATAGTCATAAATAGAGGAATTCATACAACTGAAATGAAAACTACAAAAGGACTATGAATGTGGAAGACGCAGATATCATCATGTGGAAAGAACCTGTTATAAAATAAAATAAGACATATCTCGGCTGATTTACAGGCAAATAAACTAACATACTCAAGAGCGAGAGCTGGTGTGAACGGGACAAGGCCCCGTGACAAAATGACCATTATCTTCGTTTATGCATGTTCCCGACGCACGAGTTCTGGTCGAAAAATAAAATAATATTTTAAAGTGTTTCTATTTTTCGACCGATGAAAATGCCTCCCTCCTAATTACACTCGCGTCGTTTTTCGAGCCTGTTAAACCATAAAAAAAAACGCCAGGGAAGAGACCTGTCACGCTCAGGCTGAGCGGTCAGCAGCAGTCAGAAAGGGGAGCGCCAGCGCCAACCAGTGTGAACTACTATGAGAGATCAACCCAGATATTCAGCCGGACTATGAACTATACCACAAGGTAGCTGTCCCAAAATCACACGTTCCTATTGAAATAAATCACGTAAATCTATTTCTGCTGTTGTCGTATTTCTTTCTTGCAACCATACGCTTGTCTATAACAAACCTGACCAGCAAATGGACAGGCATGTAGAAAGTGCAAGTAAAAAGTGCCAAAGTAAAAATAAAGTACACTATGTGAATGAGTCCATGCATAATTACAACAAGGATACATATATCTCTTTTGTGATTGACAGCATATAGGAAACTTGCCAACCATGTATACAGGAATCAAAATGGACTGTAAACCAACAAATAGAAGACTCTATTGTGCCTCTGAAACTGGCAGCGACATTAACATTCTACCAAATTCATACTATGACAATGAAAAATAAAACCACAATAAACCCACAGCTAAAATATGACTGGCATCATATGCAGAAGATAAAGTGCCAGTCTTCAGTATGTTTTCATTATAACATGCAGAAATGTCTAGGTAGAGACTCAAATGATAAACTGAATTTAATAAAACTTGTCAATATGATTCAGAACCCAGAACAATACTGATTTATTTTTGAGTACTAATAATTATTCAAGTGTCTAGGATATCTCCCAGAGTTCACAATCAGAACCAACCAAAGTAAAACCTATTGCTGAATTTCTAACACCCAGAGATCCATCAGATGTTGCTAGATTTCTTGGGATGGTTCCTCTTCTTCTTTTATGTGCTTCAGCTTTCAATCCTTCAGGATGTAGGCAATCATGGCTCTCCACTTCCTCCTATCTCTTGTAGTTCTCAATATGTTTTGTCCTTATGCTACTTCTCCCAAACCCTGTTCTGTTATTCACTTGCTTAAGTCCGTTAAGTATGTCACGTGTTGCTTTCCCTTCTCTCTCTCTCTCTCTCTCTGTCCCATGAGTGTCAGATTCACCAAACCTTCTTTTCTCATTATGTGTCCCAGAAATTTCAGCTGCCTCTTCCTGATGTTAAGTATGAGCTTCCTCTTTGTTTGCATCCTCTCCAAAAACTCATCATTTCTCAAATGTTCACTTCAGGGTATCCTCAGCATCTTTCTGTAGAACCATACCTCTGTTGCCTTGAGTGTCATCTTTGAGGAGACCGTCCAACATTCGCTGCTGTAAAGGTAGACAGATATCACCTAGTAGTTCAGTACTCATTTATTTGTTACAAACGAAATCCTCCTGACTCGTAATACTCTGCCTAGCTTTTGGAATGCGTCTTTGGCCATCCCATTACGTCTTCGGATCTCATCATCGTACTTACCATCCTCTATCAGAACACTTCCCAGATGTTTAAATTTCTGCACCTCCCAGTAGGATTTCCAGTTCCAGTTCTCTCAGAATTGCTTCACTGTATATGTTGAATAAGTCCAGTGAGAAGACACACTCTTGCCTTATGCCTCTTCCTATTTTTTATATATCTGCTGAACTCATTTTCTATCCAGGCTGTTTGCTGCTAGTATAGGTTCTTGATTATTCTAATATCTTTCCCAAATATGTGGTGTACTTTGTTGAACACCTTTGCTAAAATGTAGGTGCACATCCTTCTGCATATGTATTCCTCTTTCTGATAACATTCTAAGCATGAATATTGTATTCCTTGTTCTGGTGTTTTTAACAAACTCGCACTGTTCTTGTCCTATCTCTGGCCCGATTCTGCTGCATGCTCTATTCATCAGAATACGGATGATGAGTTTTGTTATGTGGATCATTAGGGTGACTGTTCAGTGGAGTTTACATTAATTTGTGCCTAGTTTCTTAGGCAGTGCTATGAAAATAGATCTGCTGAGATCTTCCGGTATGTCACCATTGTTGTAGATTTCATTCATTTAAAATTCAACACTAGTAGTGTTTGCATTCATGGATTGAAATAGAAAGCAGTTTTGCTGCTTTATCTGTAACAAGACTGTTCCTCAGTTTGGAATGCACCAATCCATAGGATAAGAAAACTCATTTAATGGCAGATGAGGCTAATGTGGACAAGAGTTGCTTAATCTTTTTTTTTCACCGCAAGCAAGGCGGGAAGCCACTAGGATGCAAGGGGTTACAGAAGATTTGGAGTAAGGTCAGATAGGAGTGATAGAGGAAAGGATGAGGAGAAGTATAGTGAATAGATCAAGGCAACTGGAGATGTCGATTGACATTACATTTGAATAGTTGGAGATTATAGCTCTCAGGGAAATTGGAATAGGGAAGGGAGTTCCACAGGCGAGAGGTGCGAGACATGAAGCTATTGGAGTAGAAGCCGGCTACATTTAGTAGTTTCGACAGTGAAAGGGTGAGAGCGGGATGCCAGCCTCGTAGGGCGCTTGAATTCATGAAGTCTGGGAACAAGCGAATGCAGCTCCTCGGAGCAATTACCATGAAAGTATTTATAAAAAAGACAGAGAGAGGCGAAGGTGCGACTGTGAGAGAGCGACTGTAGACGAGATGCCAGAACACGGCCAATTATATTGCATATCCGCCTCTGGAGCTTATCAAGAACCCCGAGGCAAACAGAAGGGGCTCCAGACCATATATGGCAGCAATACTCCATGCAAGGGCGGATTGTTGATTTGTAGAACTGAAGGATAGATTCCGGGGAGAAAAATTTTCTGGCGCGGCACAGGGAGCCAACTTTCCTTGCGGTGGACGAAGCAATTGACTCAACGTATTTGTTCCATCTCAGGTCAGCAGACAAGGTGAGACCGAACAGCCGCAGAGAGGTGCTCTCGAGAAGTTGAGTGTCAGACATTCTAATGGAGGGCAGGGAAGGAACTCTGTGGTGAGAGCAGTTTTGTTTTTGAGGCATTAAAGTTGACCAGCCAATTCCTGCCCCAGTTCACAACCGATTGGAGGTTCTTTTCGAGACGCACGGCCAGGTTAGTTTTGTCAGCGACACTAGATTTGTTTTTGAGGCAGGAGTAAATTATGGTGTCAACTGCGTAGATGCCAACTTTGGAATTTATGGCGCCAGGAAGGTCATTTATGTAGATAAGGAATAGAGTGGGGCCTAGGATGGAGTCTTGAGGAACACCTGCGTTCGTAGGATAGGAACTGGAGGAGAATCCGTTGAGAACGACCTTCAATTCACGGTTTGACAGGAATGATTGTATTAGGTCAAACAATCGACCCGTAATGCCATAACCCTGGAGATTGTGAAGAAGGCCGGCATGCCAAACCCTATCAAACGCTTTGGAGATGTCTAGGGCCACGGCACAAGCTTCCCCGTTATTTTGAAGAGCTTGGTAGACACTTTCAGTGATGGCCGTAAGCACATCAGCTGTAGATCGGGCAAAGCGGAAGCCATATTGCTTGTCTGAGAGCAGATCTTGGGATGTAAGGTGGTTAACCACTTCGGTATTGATTAAGGCTTCGAAGACTTTGCCGAAGAGGGGTAGGAGACTGATAGGACGGTAATTAGAAGGGTCAGAGGGGTCGCCAGAGTTCTTGAAGACAGGAAGAATCGAAGAGGACTTCCAGCAGTCAGGAAACCAAGATTCCTTGAGGCAGTAGTTATATAGTTTAGAAAGGGCGGGCGCCAGTTCAGGCGCGCATTTCTTCAAGACAATGGCTGGTATCCCATCCCCACCACTAGCTTTGTGGGGGTCTAAATTGGAGATAATGCCCAATACCAAAGACGGGGTTATGTGTAACCCACTCAATATGGCCTCAGTTCTAAGAGGGAAGTCGGGTATGGGTACACCGGAAGAGTCGAGTGTTGAGTTGAATGAAAATCTCCGAGCAAAGCATTCAGTCTTGTCGGCAGAGGAGGTCAGGACTTCGAACTAGTTGAACAAGGGAGGTATAGAGGGTTTGCAATTGTTCAATACGCTCTTGCAGAGACGCCAATAATCTTTGGAGCCAAATTTGCGAGATGCAATACGCTCCTTCATCCGAGCAGTAAATATTGACTTAGCATCGTTGAGGACATGCTAAGTCACAGGCGGGCAAAGAGACGTCTATTGCAGTCCGACATGTTGCTACGAAATAGGTGAAAGAAGTGGTTCCTATGGGCAATGGCGGCTGAGCAAGCAGCGGAGAACCAAGGTGAGGAGCCTGACTTGACCCTATATTTCCTTGAGGGGATGAAAGCGTCGATTCCAGTCGAACCCAGGATGAGACCTCAGAAGCACATTCTTGGACGGGGAGCGTAAAGACAACATCCCAGTGGACATCGCGGAGGAAATCACGGAACGAGTCCCAGTCAGCTCGTTGATAGTAGAATGAAGTTCTAGTGGTAGGAGGTTCTTTGCAGGGGGGTGGAGTTGAAGGAGATGTTAACAGATACTACAGCATGATCGGAGTTACCAAACGGGCAGAGTTGCGTGGCGCTACTAGACTCGGGGATGGAGGTAAAACACAGATCGAGAAGAGAGGCTTTACCTTCCCGGTTGAAGGCAAAACGAGTGGGGAAGTTAACTATCTGCGTGAGGGTTTGAGAGACTGAAAAATTGAGCGTTTGAATGTCTGCGTGGTCAGTAGTAGCATTCTTAAGCCACATGGTATGATGGGCGTTAAAGTCGCCAAACACAAATATGTGAGCAAACGGGTGGAGGGAGAGAGCCTTGTCTATGCTGTCAGAAATGCTATCGAGTATCCCACAGTCTTGAGAGGATGGAGAGCGGTAAAGGAAGAAGAGATAGCTTACCGCATTGAGAAGAGATAGACGGAGACACATGTACGACTGGTCTGGCGATTCGAGAGACAACACTCTGGCCAGAGGGAGATGGTCCTTGACGTAGTGGGTTAGAGAGTCTTTTCTGAGGAGAGGAAGGTAGCCTGTAATCGAGAGATCAGATGGTCAATGGTTCATGTGTCACTCTGTAAGTTGTCAGAATTGAAATATAGTAATTGAATAGTACTTACAAATAAATATTTCAAATCAATAAACATTATGATTAAAGTCTTATTAAAACAAATTATCTATGACTGCTTTTTTTGTTTGCAAGATACTATTATTGTAAAATTTATTATAAAATTAATAATTTATTATAATAATTATTTATTATTATTGTAATGTACAGTAAAAAATAAAATAAATAAAATGATTGTATAGGTAACTTATTAATTTTAAATTATCACTCTTTAAAAAAATGCTTAAAAATGGTGTTTTTAAAGTCAATTGCTAATATATATACCTGATATAACAGCAAAATTGTCCAAATCATGTTACAGTATAATTGTCCATCCCACGAAATGTTTAATACCTAAAAAATAACTAAACTAATTTAATTTCTATTTTCCAGATTTTCATATAAGACGTTTAGCCATTTTCATTTGTCATAAGAATCACTGAGAAAGACCCATTGAGTTATTCAATATGAAAGAAAACAGGTTAAAATCATTTTGTATCAGACCCACTCTCTTCCCAACTGAGCAATGGTGAGAGGAAAAAGATCATTCAGGCTTTCAGTAATGGTACCAACATTCATACTTTGGCTTCCATCTTCAAAGGCCATTCAAAAAACATTAAGAGCATGGTGAATAAGTTTAAAAAAGAGGGAACGGTAGAGAGGAAAACTGGATCAGGAGGTCACAGCAGAAAGAGGGATCATCATTTCAACTTAGAGCTAAAGAGATCAATTAGAAAAGATCCAACTCAATCCATAAGATGGTTGGCACATGAAAGAGGAGTTTCAGCTATGACAGTTCAAAGTGAAAAAGACTTGAAAATGAAATCGTACGTGAAACCTTGTTGCTCCAGGACAGAAAGTTAGAAGGTTAGAGGGGGTGAAAATCATCTTGATTAAGTTTGAAAATGATCCTGGAATAATCTATCTATCTATCTATCTATATATATATATATATTTGAACTTTATTTCAATCCTTTCTGAGCTTCTGATCCTTAACTATGATTAATTAATGATGAACATGTCATTTTTGTTTATGATTGATTTCATCACAATTCTTCTGTTAAACTTGGAGAGTAATTATACACCCTTATTGCTCAAAGTAGAGTCTAATAGTGTTATAAAAACCTGGGAGAATTCCAGTAAGATATCTTTAATGATTTTTAAGATTTCTGTAATTTCTTTTACAATTTTATTAAATATCATTTTATAATCTTAAGTCATTGCTATCAAACAATCTAATAATTTTAATCTAATAATTGGACAATTTTGCTGTTACATCCGGTATCTATAGAAATTGAAATATTTTCAAAATATATTTTTTCCAATTGAGAATTTATTGGTTCACCACTAATTATTGTTTTATTAATATTATATAATTGATTTTTTTTATTATTGTAGAGCTTACTTGTTTTACAATATGTGGCACCAAAGGGCACTTTTATATTTGTCTTTGTTTATAAACTTAGCACTTGCTATTTTTGAAAAACCTGCAGTACCTAATTTTGAATTATCTACTTGGGTAAGTAAAGTTTGATTTTCTGATATAATTTTTATCTTGATATAATTTTAATATAAAATTACATGTGTAATAGTCTTAAATCTCTTAAATTAATCATTATTATTAACAAAAAATGAAAATACTATGCAAAAATTAATCAAATTTATTGTGATGTGAACTGAAGTTCTGTTTTTTAAATAAATTATTGTCATAATTTGTAGTGAAGACAGTCCTGAACAGAATAAACATTCATATGAACTATCTTTTTTTAAAGGTTATTTATCAAAGAAACATAAGGATTTTCAAGAATATTAGTCAATCCCAAAAGCTGAAAAAAAAGTAACTATTCCAAATATTTTAGAAACTAAGAAAAATGGTTTAGGTGTGATTTATGTCTTTCTTTAAGATCAGGTTCTCCAACTATAATTTACCTTAAATCTTAAGAACTCTTATCAATTTTTGATACCCAAGCGCATACATGTCTGTCTTTCATACTCTTATATGAATAAAGTTTTTGTCTTTGTTTTTAAAATTAGATTGGAAATGATTTGTATGTCTGTCAGTAATTTCTTTTACAATTTTATTAAATATCATTTTATAATCTTAAGTCATTCCTATCAAACAATTTTTATATAAGAATGTAATTTATCTCAGCAAATATTTTTGTGGTAAGAGGGAAAATTTATAATAGCTCATGATATCTGTAGTGAAATGATTCAACTTCCATTTGAGTTTGTTACCATAATATTAAAAAAGGAACAGTTTATGCACAATAATTTGGTAATTTGAAGAACAAATCAATTTTCAGTTCATTTTGCAACTTAACAGTGTAGCGTTTGCATTTGTACTCACTATGATAATATATAACGATCAGATTTTCCAAGGTAAATATTAAATGCTAATTATAGAGTAGTTTATATTATTTGCCAAATTTTCAATGAGAAATTCTGATTTCTGTATGTTTATTATAAAGTAACCAAAAAATAGCACATCATAGTATGACTTCCTAACACAATACGCTGAAAATGTTCTAACTTAGAGAATAAAGTAATTTTTCAACCAATTTTCAATAATGTGAGACCTGCATTCATGCCCACTGTTTTGGGATATAGCTTATATATATATATATATATATATATATATATATATATATATATATATATACTGAATGTTATTTATAAAGTAGTTTCCCATATATATTTGCAAATAATTGCAAATTTGGTTCCAAAGATTATTGGTGTCTCTGCAAGAGCACACTGAACAACAGCAAATTTGCAATAACTACTTTATTCAATCAATTTGAGATCCTGACTTTCTCAGCTGATAAGGCTGAATGCTTTGCTCAGGAATTCCCATCCAATTCAATGCTCGAATCATTCAGTGTATACACACTTGATTTTCCCCTTAGAAATGAGGCTCTATTGATCGAGTGTCACATCACCCCATCGATGGTATTGGGCATTGTCTCTAAATTAGACTCCCATAAGGCTAGTGGTGGGGCGGGATATCAGCTGTTCTTTTGAAGAATTGTGTTCCTGAACTGGCTCCTGTCCTCTCCAAACTATATAATTACTGCCTCAACAACTCTTGCTTTCCAGCTTGTGACACTATTTAGCTGATAATTGGCTAACTAATTAGCCATACAAATTAAAAATGGGAAATACTTAAGGCAAGAAAGATCTATATCGAAAGATAGACTGAGCGACATTAAAAAAAAGAAGAATTTATTGTGACGCGCCAATATAAACAGAATTCAGATAGAAAAAACAAAACCGGTCGATGCATGCAGCCATGGAGAAAATTTGGCTTGTGACCACCCTGGAGAATAACCATTAATTATCTTTCAGAGATATCATTTAATTTTGGTTCTTAGGTCCAGTGAAGAGAGCCATCTGGTATATATACGAATCTTGACATGAAAAAGAGAGTCAAAAAGGGGATCATTATTATTGCTTATTCAAACTGGTGATCTGGAAAATGAGCATCTGGTGATAAGAGAATTTTAAGGCATGAGAAAAATAAAAAGAATTTAATTATCAGGAAAACATGACCACCCAGTTAAAAGTTGGCCAAGTGGATTTGGGTGTCCCCAAAATTACAAAGTGATAAAGAATTATTCGGCAATCTGGGATTTGTAAATGTTTTGGCCGAAGGAAAAGGAAAAAGAAAAAAAAAAGGATTTTGTAAACATGAGTGTCAGTCTAGCCACACCCACACTGCTGAGAGATCATTGGCCAACTGGTAGCATGGGTGATAGGCGGAGGTGAATGTATGAGAAAGATAGAGAAGTTGTTAACAACCACTGAGAAGATTGATATGAGATGCCAATGTGAGAGAGGAAGAGTCTGGGAGGATAACTCTCCTCTGACCTTCCCTCACAGACGAGGGAGAAACCCCCGAAATGGAAAGTGATTAGTCTTCCAAAAATGGGAAGTAATTAATTTTCCTGGCCTAAGAACAAAGAGAATTCCTGTTGGGAATTGAGAATTGTCAAAGAACCCAAACCACGATGCCCCCACACTGGAGTTGGCCGGTGTCCATATAAACAAATGTCTTGAGGCAGCTGATCAGAGTTTCGGCAGAGTTTTCAGAATTTTAGAGAGTTCACAGTTCCTGACAATTCGAGTTTGGAGTTGGTTTGAGAAGTTGGAGACCAGCTTCACAGAAGCTGACCGAAAGATTTCCATGTCCTCTCGACTTCGTACCAAAAGCGAGTTTTTATTGACGAATGACTTAAGATACCATAACTCGCTTAAGAAACACAAAAAGTGTCACAAATCCATAGAAACAGGCTGAGAGAGAAACACACTCCTGTATTCAACAGACAGATATAGATAATTGTTATTTCTCAGCATATTTGAACCTTGTGAGTTTGTTTTATTATTTTCTTTTACTTACGCTTGTGCGATATCACCTTCACCCCGGATTCAGCTTGCACTATGGCCCAACGCCTGATTGATTTCAGATATCTAAGATCAAAATCACAACGTGGATAGGTTAGACTTGAGATCAAAGCAGTTACTTCAGTAACCAGACGTTGGAGGTGAGCTGGGAACGACAAATTGGTATTGAACCGAAAACGACCAGATCGACCGGGACACAGGCTGGTGTCAATGATAACAAGTCAACCCCAAACGCTGGTGGAAGAAACCTTACAGCTTCATGCCGCAACTGGGAGCTGACCACAGGTCAACAGCACAGTGTCATATATTGACGTTGTGACTAGTGGATTTCACATATTGGCACTGGACTGTGACCGCGACCACCGGTGGGTGTTACAATCTGTTGTACCTGTCTTTAAGAATTCTGGAGACCCTTCTGACCTATCTAACTAATGTCCTATCAGTCCCCTACCACTCTTCAGCAAAGTCTTCAAAGTTTTAATCAATACCGAAGTGGTTAAGCACCTTACATCCCACGATTTGCTCTCTGACAAGCAATATGGTTTCTGCTTTGCCCAATGTACTGCTGATATGCTCACAACCATAACTGAATTTGTTTACCAAGCACTTCACAATAACGGCAAAGCATGAGCTGTGGATCTAGATATCTCTAAAATGTGTGATAGGATTTGGCATGCTGGCTTTCTTCATAAGCTTGAAGGATACAGAATTTCAGGATGATTATTTGACTTAATACAATCATTCCTGTCAAACCATGTAATAAAGGTTGTCCTTAACAGATTCTCCTCTAGTTCCTTTCTCACAAATGCAGGTGTTGCCCAAAGCACTATCCTGGGTCATACACTGTTTCTGATCTTCATTAACGATCTTCCTGATGTCCTCAGTTCCCAAGTAGGTATCTATGTGGACAACACTACTATTTACTCCTGCCTCAATAGAAAATCTGGTATCGCTGATAAAACTAACCTGAGCGTTGGTCTCAAAAAGGACTTTCAATCTGTTGTTGACTGGGGCAAGAAATGGCTGATAATCTTTAATAACTCAAAAACAAGAGAGACAAATCATTGTCACACAATACAATCAATTTGCTAACTGAATTTTATAATGATGATAATTTTAGCCAGCAGTTACTTGGTAGTAAAGACTATATAAGTATTGGGAACAGGCAGTACAAGCAAAAACAACTGGTTTTGTGCAACTTAAAAGAGCTATATGCTGCTTTAAAAAAAAAAACAGTGTGTGTTTGTACACCACCAGAATGCAGTTCTTTTGGTGGATAGGACATAACATACAAAGATTTTATCAGCAAGGTTGTATGTGACTCATCAAACAGAATATGCATGATGCATTTGCTGTGAAAAATGCATTAATGGAAGTCATAAATGGGGAGCTTCAGGAATTTGAGCCTGATGCCGAATTCCATTATTTACAATGGCAATCAACTAACTGCTCCACTTTGGTAATACTAACAACAACATGTGAGGAATACAAACAGATTGTAGTTGAGGCAATTTATGCTTTAACTAAACACTTATATGTAGAAAAATGTCAGGAAAAATACCTAAAAACAAAGAAAGAAAATTTAGTAAGAAATGAAGCCATTATTCTCGGTGATTTTGCAGAAAACTATCAATTTATAATTTCAAGGGCATCATTGGAATAAAATGTATTTCACTATACATTCAGTAGTCAATTACTTCATTAACAGTCATGGTGTTCTCTTCTATGATTCTCTGTGCTTTGTTTCAGATGATAACAATCATGACACAGCTTTTGTTTATGAAGTACAAAGATTGACAACAGAGTACATTAACAAATATCCTGGTGTTGAAAAACTATATTATTTTTCTGATGTAATTTTTGTAATTTTTGTAATTTTTTGTAATTTTTGTAATTTTTGTATTGCTCAGCATAACGCTGAGCAATACAAAAATTACAAAATCTCATTAATTCATATCATAAGCAGGATTTCCAACTTGATGCTGAGTGAATTTTTTTTGCAACAGATCATAGTAAGTCACCATGTGATAGAATTGGAGGTTCTATCAAGAGACATGTTGCCAAAAAAAGTGTACAGATGCCATTAAGGGATCAAATCTTTGATTATAAGGCATTCCTAGACGTTTGTAGGATAGATCTTTCTGGGATTCAAATTTAAGATATTGAGCAGTCTGATATCTGATGTTGGCTGTTCGAGATCAACTGACAGAATGCTTTGTAATGTGTAACACTGTTTCTGGAACAAGGAGCAGTCATCATTTCATCCCAATGTCAATGACAAAAATTTCTCACAAGCTCACAAGTAAAGATGAAGATGTACTATATACATTTGATTTTTGCAAGAATTAACCCAACATGAATGTACCAAATATATCTTCATATGTAATCTGTGTTTATGATTCTATTTTATGAATTCACTTAGTTAAAAAAATGAGTGAAGAACATGGTGATGTTGAAATCCAATTTTTACATCCACATATTCCAAGTAAAACATTTAACTGGCCTTCAAATATGACATTTGCTTTGTACCACTAAATAAATTCACCTCCAAAATCAGCAACTGCTACTGGAAGATCTTACAAGCTTTCAGATGATGATTTCATTAAGATAGTAGCAGCATTTACAAGTTTCCAATCAAAGACAGCTTGATTCATTTTTTAGGATTCTACACGTACACACACCATCTATTATTTGTATATAAATTACTGGTGTGTTTTATTTCATGTTGACAATTTTTAAACAAGAAATGCTTTTTATTTAATTGAAAATAATTAAAAATTGGTTAATAAAGAAATAAGATTTGGTCCTAACACCAATGTTATTTCATTATTAAAGATATTTGCATATTTACATAATTTTACAATAATTACCTCCCATAATTTATATACATACTTTTAATATTTCTTTCGTGTTTACAATAATGAAAGAATTATTCAAATTGAAGTGTTCTTATTTATTGGCTTAGAGATTGAAAATTAATAAAATAAAGAATAAAGAAAATTTGCTTCATAATATTCACATTTGCATTATTCTCTATTAATAAAAGTTTTTTTTATTGTTCTGATAGTGCAATTTTATATTTCATTACTGTATTTTAAATTTCTGTAAATAATTTTTGTGAATATACATGTTTGCTTTATCTGGTCTTATTTTTTTGTATATTGTTATCATTTTACTACTCTCACATTTTCAATTTCATAATTAAATGTGGGGCTGATATTGAGTTTTGTATATTAACAGAGTTTGGAAGGCAATGATTGATACAAGAGAAATGTATTGTTTCTATATTATTTTTAATTTATCCAACTCCTAACCACAAATGTAATCCTGATCATTTTATCCTGACAATTATTTTGTTATAGACCTTATTCAATGGCTGAACAGAAACACTTAAAACATAAATGTGCAAAATTTTAATTAATGTTGTAGCTTCTATTGTGAGCAAACTAAGAAATAATCAAACTATCTTTTTGATACAAATAATGTTCAATATATGTAAAATAATAATAATAAAAAATGTCATAGATGCACTGCCACATGGAGATTCTCCCCCTCCCCCCATTGATCTTAATATGAAAAAATCAGAAATCATTAATAATTTAAAATTGGTTAATTTTGGGAATTTTTTTGATAGAATGTTTGGATTCCTCAGGCCTAAAAGCTTTTCTGAGCCAATTTATAGGAATAGGGAAGCTCTAAAACTAATTTTACAGACAAAAATATATTATGAAAGGTTGCAATTTTTTGTGTGACCCCAAAACTGGGGAAAACTAAAAATTGATGTAAATTGGAAAATTTTTGGAATTAGAAGCTCAAATTTTGGGGATTGTCTAACTTTAACATAGTCAACACATGGACAAAATCTCAGAAAAATTGAAGAGGTAAGGGTGACATTCCCTAGATGATTTGACATGGAATTGACCCAAAACAGTTTTGCTCTGGGAGGGTATCTGCCAGTAGACTTCAATCATGGCTCTATGCTCAGCAAGTTTGAATGACCAAGGGTTGAGATCATAGTTGAAAAGGTCTTGGCATGAATATATGTTGTATTCAAGAGATCCACCTTATTGAAAGTGACTATGAGAGTGTACTGTTGAGAAATTTCCACCTATTCTCAGCATAATTTGATAGCTGCTCAAAGGGTGTTTCTTGATTAGTAAGTTGTTCTTTGGACATGAGTTGTTCATTTGTCTTCACAGATCTGGTGAGCAGATTGTATGTACTAGATGTTACCATAGAGGAGAAAGTGTTCCAACTCATTGTACCCAATGACTATGGGGAGTGGGAGGCCTTCTTTCAGTGGATTGGTCATTTTGTAATACTATTGAAATGGGTAGTTTAGTAGGTGATTGGAACACTGTCTTTGATCTTAACTTAGACCACAGGGGAGCTAGAAAGGATACAAACATTCCTTCCAATTTAAAAAAAAAATTGATCTGATTGATAAATTCCAAAATGAACAGCAGAAGTGTGTAGAGTGAACTAGGACAAATAGGGGCAGAATGGGTTGGGTGCAGTCTTTTAGTTACATTAACCAGGTTCTAGTTAAGAGAGTTAACTTAGAATTCTTAGGTTGCCCAAGTTTTCTTAGTTTAGTTTATTCAGACCATAAGCTTCTGCTAGTCCAAATAAACTTATATAAGCTTAGAATGGTTGGGTACTGGAAATTCAACACATCTTTGCTAAATGTGAAGGATTTCCAGGACTAGCTGCCACTAACAATGCAGCAGGAACTGATAGATTCTGTGTTTAGAAGTAAGTGGCAAGGACACCTTAAGGACACCATTAGATTTTTTTCCACCAATTACAGCAGATAATTTAACCTAGGCAGACTAGAAGATTATCCTTCTTCAAACATTATGGACTGGCACTACAGAATCATAATGAGAACTGTACCAGATAACAGAAAGCACATCACTTGAGGACTCTCAACAACAGCAAAAGCTAAAATGGATATCACATGTAATTTGAGGAGAAAATAATGACATGAAGATGTTATAATTTTACATGACTTTGAGCCAAATGTTAGGAAGGAAATCCCCGTCAATACTGGAAAGTGTGATACTAGCTGCAAAATTTGAGAAATCTATTTTCCTGAAAAAATATTTTAAGAGAAAGGTTTTATGAATTTCAAATAACAGTAGTTCTGGCTGCTCAGTTTAATGAATGCTGAATGTTTCCTTATAAGGAAACAGCTAATATTAACATTACCTTCCAATTGCTGTTAGTATTTAGCCACTCTTCATTACTCCACCAAATCTTTGCAGCTTTCTTATGTTAAATGCATAACCTAGTTTACACATTTCATTGCTATTAAATTATTATCAGCCTTTATTATTTAAACTTTTATCAGGGGTTCCAAACAACTTAGTCTAACTAAGAAATACATTCTTTATAATTGATGAAACAGACTTGTTATAAATCACTGTTGCTGTACAAAATCGTGTTGCTAATTAATTTTAAGAAATAATACTCACTTCAAACTTTCAAAGATAGTCTCATTAAACTTTGATGCCATGGTGATACTGGCAGTGGAGAAGGTTACTTGAACAAACACCATTTGACTGACATTTCAACGATGGTGTTTTCCAATTCAGTATTCACTAGTATTTCTAATCAAGGCAATTCTGGTGATGCTGGATGACCAAATTGTTTGAAGTTTAAAGGCAGTTCCCATAGAGATCTGAATATTCCAGATTCATAAGAATGCTCTTTTTAATGATTGCTGGTTTAGTCTTAATGTAAGAAGTAAGCAATGGCGAGATGTGATTGATCACAGCAGTATCATTTTATTCCTTATTATTACAGTATCATTTATGAAATACAACATTTTTTATCTTTTTCATAGATTTTTTACTCAGTAACAGAGTAACAATTCAACATCTTGAGCCATGCCACCATATCTCCATTACTATAGAAGGGCTTTATTATGTTGCTGCTGCGTTTCACCTTTGCCATTTTGGGGAAGTCAATAAATCGGTAGCACTACCAAAATAGCTTGAAGAAAAAGAAAGTGAAGTATGAGATAAAAGGAAAGAAACATGGTCACTCATCTCAATTTCTTTCTTACCCTAATTATCCTTAGAATCACTATAAAGAACACCTTTCTCTGACTCCTTTGTTACAATAGTTATAAGTCTAACATGTTTAATGAAGGGAAAAAAACACTGAAGGGGATTATTTCATTGTTTCTTAAGCTGATGTGTTATTGCAATGGTAATTTATCTTTAAAAATGAATCTACACAAAAAACAGAGTTATGAAAGCTCACCTGTTTTAAGAATGACTATAATTATAAAATAATTTAATTCTCTATTGATTTCAAAAACATTCATGAAATATTGAATTCTTTTAAAAAGGCAAAACTAAGATATATAAAAAAATATATATTTGGGATTAAATAAATTTTAAGTTATCATGTAAATCTTACAAAAGTGTTGAAATATTTGTCTTTTTTGTTTTTTGTAGGCCACTATGCTTATTGAATTTCTGTGTCTTCTCTTCTTTATTTTCCGAATCATTCACACAGCATATGTTGAAAAAATGGAAAATTTTTGTTTGGATAGAAAGTACATAATTGTTATAATAATAATTGTGGTAAGTTCTTGGTTTTTGTTCAGTTAAATTTAGAGCATTTTTCATTTTCTCCAGTTTTTTGTTGTTTAACCTTATAGTAATTCTTATTATCATTTGCATTTAGAGTACTCCTTTTTTTATTTGGTTTATTACTCAGTTTTGAATAATTCTTAAATAATTAAATGTGTTTGCAAAATTGTGTAAAAAAAACAATGAATTTAAGTGGACATGGATGTATACCTATGTTTTATAGATTATGCAAAAGCATTTGATAAAGTATATCACAAAGATCTGCTGGAACTGATAGGTAACTATGGCATATATTGGAAGGATATTAGAATAATCCAGAACCTATACTGGCAGCAAACTACCTACATACAAATAGGAAATGAGTTCAATAAATGCATAAAAATAAAAATGGTCATAAGACAAGGATGCGTCTTCTCACCTGATCTTTTCAGCCTATACAGTGAGGGCATTCTGAGAGAATTAAGATTTATTATTGGTGGCCACAATCTTAACATTAAATATGCAGATGACACAGTGTTGATAGCCGACATGAAAGGAAACTACAAGAACCCCTACAGAAGGTAGAGAAAGGAAAAGTGAGTAGAAAAGATAAAACATCAATTGAAAGAAGACTAAATGCATATGTTAGCAAACTGAAAACCCAACATGCAAATTACAAATTGGACATACTGAAATCAAGCAAATGTAACAATTTAGATATCTTGGAAGTGTATTGACAAAGGACAGAAAGTGCAACAAGGAAATCTGAAGGCTCACTGGGATAGAGAAAGACAAGCAAAGTATTAAGAAACAAAAATATTGTTATAACAAAGAAATGAGTACTGAAATATTATGTAATATTAGTCCTCCCATATGACAGTGAATGTTGGACAATCTCATTACAGATGAAGAATAGACTTGAAGCAACAGAAATGTGATTCAACAGAAAGATGCTGAGAATACCATGGATAGAACATATGAGTAACAACAAAGTTCTAGAGAAGGTTGCAACAAAAAGGATACTTCTACTTAACATCAGGAAGAGACAGTTGAAATTTCTGGGGTACATAATAAGGAAAGAGGGCTTGAAAATTTGATACTCACAGGACAGATTGAAGGTAAGAAAGCAATGCGTAACCTACCTGTCAAGCTTGAGTGAATGGAAGGCAGAGTAAGGTTTGAGAGAGATGGCAAAAAGACAAAAGTTATTAAGAATTACAGGGGACAGGAAATTTTGGAGAGTCATGATTGTTAATGTCCTAAAGGGATATGGCACATAAAAAGTATGCAACAAACAACATTTGATAATTTGAAAAATGCTCTTGCAAAAAAAACTGTTATCAAGATTTTTACTCCCAAAAGAAAGCTACATTAACTATGGATCCTAGTTAAAATTACATATCGTCAATCTTAGCCCAGGAAGGACACCCAGTTATGTATCTTTCTAGAGAATTAACATTGCCCAAATCTAATTGCTCAAATATAGAAAAAAAAGAAGGCTCTAGATATAGTTTGGAACACTAGTAGGGCTTGTCAATCTTTAGTAGACAAAAGATTCTTGTCTGACCATAAGCCCTTAGAATTCATTTTTAACCTGAAGAAGAAAAGTTACATCTTCCAGAATATTAAAATAAGCCATAAAGCTACTGGCTTTCAATTTTTATATTGAATATAGAAATGTAAATGCTATTCCCTATATAGATGCATCATCCAGATTACATTTTAAAAGGGGAAATAAAGACAGCATATAAAAAAAATGGTGGATGAATTTTTGCACTGGATAGAAATTGATGTTCTGCCAAATTCAACAGTACAGGATCAAGTAAAATTAAGTAAAATTGTATCTCGAATAAAAACTAATAAATGGAATAATTGTTCAAAAACTGAAAGAAAAAAAAGTTGTGTTGGCAATTTAGTAGTATCACCTGGAAAATGTAGAAAAGATGAAATTAGAAGCACTGTAGCCTGGATATGCACATATTTTGAAAATCATGCATAAAAGACACACAGATCTCTAGAGAGTGGGAGAGAAGGAAGTCAAAATGAAAATGCAAATAGACAAAGAATCTTGAGATCAACAAAGGACATAAAGCCTATTTGTTCCAGGGAGATGTAGTAGTGTTTGGTTAGTGCTATCACTAATTAACATATGTATCTGAGTAAATGTTATTAGGCTGACTATGTAAGGTAGTGGCAATGGTACTTGTCCTGCTCATACTGCTGACATCTCTCAGTTGTGTCTGTTTTTAGGAAGAGCACAACTCAGTTGTGTCTCTGTCTGCAGACAGAAACACATAAATATCATGTAATTAAAAGAAAATAATTATTTTCAAATTTGTTCTATTATAGATAAAATATTTGCATCTGTTATTAGAATTATCCTTATCATTAGTACATTTCCTACAACTCAACAAAAAATAAATAACTCCAATGTAAGTATCTCCTTTTCTAAAGATTGAGAACATTTTGTTCATTTTAATTTTAGACTGTTTTTTATCCTATAAATCTTTCCAGATAGATTTTTGACTTTCATTATTAATAATTTTAAGCTTGTACCAAAGTTATGATAATTCAATGAAATATTTTTCAGTGTGTATTGAGAGAGAAAAAATGAAATTTATTTACATCTTAAATCTGGTATTGGGGTTGTAGAATTTATATTTACTTGCCATATTCATTGAGTTTATTGACTAAATGTTGTTTTAGGATAACAATTATTAAATTTTGATTGATAAATTATTTATCAAATTGTATATTAAGAGTCAAGTATTTTTCTACCAAATTGTTGATTAACCCAGGCTTGTAATGGAACTTTGTAGGACTTTATTTGTGAGCACATAATTTTAATAGTTTTTGAACAGCAGATGATATTTAGTTGCTTAGCATGCAATCATAATAGTCATTTAATGAAACATAACTGTTGTTATAACAACAAAGATGTTTGATAACAGGAAAGAATATAATTCTCAATTTTTAACTTTTACTTTTTACTTAATGGTACCTGTGAAAAAAATTGCAAAGATTTATTGAATTTTGGTATATTTGTCATATAGTGTTTGTCTGTCACTAAAGGTGTTAAATATTAAAGTTGTTTTTTCATGAGGGAGAAATAAGTAGAAATAATTTTGCTTTTCTAAATAACTTGAAACATGCATTTGATTATTAAATAAATTGTTTTGTGAACAAAAGAATTTTAGTTTTATATTATTTTAGTTTTATATTATTGAACTTGTTCTACATTATCAACATATTTATTGTGATATTTGTTTAATTTTTCCATTTTTGTTTCTCTATTTCAGCTAACCATATTAGATATGTTATGTTACATTGTATGGATAGTTACTGAGCCAAGAGCCAATGTTATTAGATGGTCAAGGTCATTAAGACCATTTCTTTGTGTTAATTTTCCAGAAGGCCGACAGGTATGCTCATTTCATGATATTTGATTGATGTTTTGTACTCCAATACTTAACATAATTTAATTACAATAACTAATTCCTATATTTGACCAGTAATTAATGGATGTGAAGGTTACTGGGGCGGAAAATAAAATTGACAAGCAGAGTTCATGTTGCAGTCTATTCCACTGCATTCCCTTCATGCAAATGTTATTGAAAAATTAAGTATCAAGTTTTCGCCATACAGCTATGGATTAAGTAGCAAGGTAGACTGGGTTCTCTAATCTTGAGCAGTAACCAGACTAGGAGAATTACAACTTGTATATATGTCGTGATGACCCAATATAAAAGTACTTGAGTAAGCTGAAGAAAGAAGAAGATAAGACTAACACATGTATTCATGTCAAAGGTTGTTTTATTCTCTACCTCTTTTGGCTTAAATCACCAGCAGCATAAAGTGAATGTTCTTATGACATATATCTCATGTTTGCCTTTTGAATTTTTTCCAATATTATTATTCTCTGTATCTTAAGTGAAGTTTTATTGTTCTTCCACTTTGTGTGGTGTTTGTTATATGTAGTCCATCATCACTATCAATTTAATCTGAGTATTACCTCCCCTCATCTCCCTTTCATCATAGAAGCTCAAAGCCTAGGCTCAGATCGGCTCCAGTTTTTATTTTGTTTCTTTAGCTGGGAGTGGGTGCTATTTGGTGGAAATTCTGGATTGTAATTTTCTTTGAGTGTATGAGTAAAATGGAGGCTATTTGTGGGGCCTATGTGCAGTTGATGAAATTTTAGTTCATTCTCAGGTTTCAGAGCATTCATATCTGGTGGAAATTAGTGTAGCATGAATTGGAAGATCTTGTTTTAGGAAGAATGTAAAACCATGTCTTTGATTTGGGCATTTAACCCTGGCCAGTACACATATTCCCTGGTTTGTACAATAAGTAAGTCCTGTATGGATTTTTTGTAATACTTCTCTGCAGAGTAAGCTAGGTACTATGATGTGTGTACCTTTTAAGACTTTAACAACTGATATTTCATCCTGATAGGACCAAAGGTTTAGATATTAGATGGTACTTTCTTTTTAGAGGGCCATTCATCTTTTGTGTATCCAATAATGTTCACAGCTTTTGAAGACATTTTGCTTAACTTATGCCTAATTACCTGACCCTGGTAGTGCTTGCTAGCCTCATGTTGTATGGCCTCCCTAGCTAGGCCTATTTCTAGGAGATCCACCCCAGCCTCCACCCGGGAAAGACTATTTTTATGTCCCACCCCATGCTCTAACCAGATCGATAGTGGAGATAAAGAAAGAAAATGTACAGTCTGGTTAATATCTGTCAACATTCAATTCTATCTTATCTCTTTGCTTTCCTATATTTTTTTTCTGAGAGCACTGAGTTTTTTCACTTAAAGTGCTTCTAAAATTGATATAGCTTTTATAATAAATTTAAATGAGGGATCATACCACTATCCTTATGAGCCTTCACCTTGTTAGTCTTATCTTGTGCAAGTCGCTGGGTAAATTCGGACCTAATCCTATCCTTAAGCCTCTCCCACCACCTATTCCCAATAACCACCCCATTTCCCACTTCACTAAGGTAGTTAGCTGTTCCTGGAAGTCCCACCTCCAGTAAAGACAGATTGGACTTCTAGTATCCAGTCGTTCTATGTCAGACCTTCTGACTAACATTCTATACAGGTAGCTAGCTACCTGGGTAGATGGCCACTTAAGCGCTGACATCCCTCTGAGGGATCAACCTGGTATTTATCAACAAGACCAAACTCACCAATCAGATCAACCAAGCTATGACTGCTTGACCTCCCGCTTGCTCCTTGCCCCCTGTCTAACTTGGGGCCCAAGATGGCATTCCAGTCCCCCTAGGTGTATTGAATCCAGCAGGAATGGCTCAAGCTGCCAAAAAAACAAGATGCGCTCTGGTTGCATAAACTTCAATGATCCAAAAGGAACTTTTTTTTCCAGTGGTAAAACTAAATCCTCACTACAAATTAGACAATTTTCTATTGATAGTTTGTCTGGTTTCTTTCTGCTTTTGAATAATTACTACATTTATTGTTCCTTATTCTAGATAAAATTCAACTTAAGACTGGATCTTGCAACGTCTCCATAATTAGTCTATTCATGGGCAACACATCTATTTCCACCCAATGCAAAAATTCATCCTCATGTTCTTTTCATTTTGTTACTTTTCAAATTGTAGTCTGGACAATGTGTCTATGTGTGGTATCGTGTTTCCCTTCATGTATTTGATATCATAATCAAAAGCCATTAACTTCATAGCCCATCTTAATATTCTGGATGATGTAACTTTCGGCAATTTCTTTCTAGGACTGAATATAAATTCTAAGGGCTTATGATTCGATTTTGAAAATTTTTTCCGAATAAAAACTTGCCCTGGTCATACTCCATAAAACTGCAAGTGCTTCCTTTTCAATATTAGAGTAGTTCAATTCAACTGCTGTCAATGTCCTTGAAAGATACATCACCTGGTGTCCTTCCTGGGACAAAATTGCCAATACGGACTAGCCACTTGCATCTCTGGTTAATGTAACAATCTTTTTAGGGTCAAAAATCTTGACCATGTTTTTTTTCTTTTTTAGATAGAGCTTCTTTTAATTTAATGAAGGATGTTTGGTGTGTACTAGTCCATGTCTTTAGTCTTTATTCTTCTTTTGCAACTCAGAAAATGCTTCAGTTCTTTCAGAATATTTTGACAAGAATTTCTATACAAATTGGTTAATCCGAGAAATGATTCCAATTCTTTTTTATTAGTTGGAGAAGATACATTTAATATTTTTTGTATTAACGATGGATCCAGCAAAGTACCATTTTCTGAAATTTGGCAACCCAGAATGTTAATTCTTTGCAATTAAATATACATTTATCTTCGTTTATCATCATTTCTACCTTCCTCACTTATCCATTACAAATTTAGATTTTTCAGTTCTTCTTCAGTGACCGCACCTAACTAATATATATATCGTCCAGATAAATTATCATATTTTCTAATCTCCCCACTAAAAGTTTTTCATAGCGTTTTGAAAAATTGAGCTGGCTGTCTTAATTTCAAATGGTAAGCAGGACCATCTGCCTCACCTTAGAAAAACGACCTTGACCTTCACAACCTCTGATCTCGCAGATTTAAGTCCAGCAGCATGTGAGAAACGGGACGACTGGCCCAATATGGTTGAGTCCAAAACTGTACCTCATGAGCACCGGATTAGGCAGTGCTTCCCAAAGACTGAACAATATGGGGAGTAATTTTATATCTATGGTTTTCTACTCCCTCTAGCCAGTGAGTTCTTGAACAAATCGTTCCACATATTGTTAGCCCTTTTTTTATCCAAATCCAAGCTGCTCAGCCCGGTGGCCTACCTACTTAATGTGAGTAGGTGTTGTTCCTGGACAATTCCCGGCTGCCTCTTTGGTTATGATCCAAGTTGAGATTCCCAACCTCCCCATTTTGTTTTTTGGCCCTCTTTTTTCTCGACTGGGTCAGCTTTTTCGTTCCCGTGTCCGTATATATTTCCTCTTTTTCCCACCCCCTTAGTGAGAGAGCTTCTTGATTTTGTCCAAATGGGCAGAATACAGTGACCTATCTCCTTCTTGAGGGTTGAACTGGCCCTACTAACATCAGTTATGTTTAGTTCACTTTGTGTTCATATTTAGTTTGTTATTGGCTTCATCTCCCTTCCCTCTCATTTTTCATCTTTAGAATTGTATATATAATTTATTATCATTAAATTTTTATGGCATTGGGCGCATTTCGTAGGTTCCCCTTGAGAGGATGTGGTATTATGGTGTATGGAGGATTGATTGGTGACGGACGAGTCTTTATGGTGAATGGGCAAATTGTAATGAGTGAATAGGTCGTGAATTGGATTAGCTAGGTATAAGATAGTAAGTGAAGACCAGTCTCAACCCCTCCCCTTTTTTCGGCCTTGTGCCATAATTGTATTTTTATGCAATAAATATTGTCCTGGATCAAAGCCTTTTCGATCTTCCCTTGGTCTGCAGTTAGAGATTCAGGTGTTGCGGAATTTGAGCTAATTGGATATATCAGAAGGTGAAATTGTGTGAAGGCTTAAAAAATGTGCGTGTTCATTAAACATTCATCTACAACAAATAAAATAGACAAACATTTGAAGGCAATTCAATTGGATGAAATCAAGGAGAAACAACGTAGCTATAGATTTCAACAAATAACATGCATTTATATATGTTTGATATACACAAAGTGAATTTTAGATTGCTTCTTCAATGTGATAAGTGAGATAAAATTGTAAGGAGTGACCATGCAGTGATTTGGCGTACGAAAGCTTGTAGTTTAGGTTTGTTTATGAAATTAAAACAGTTTGATTTTTGCAAGGTGAAATGTCACTTGTGTGGGTTCAAATACTAGTGTGTATGTGTGCGACAATTGTAAATATTGTTTAAAGTCATAAGGACTTATGTGCCTTTGACTGGTATGATGTTAGTTGATTAAATACAATTCCTACTTCGGTAGTGAATAATGTCAATTTTTCTAGTAAATTGTAACGTCAATTCGTGCGGCAAGACTTTCTGAGTTGTGTCAAGCTGCTGAGAGAGAGAGTGAGAGAGTGGCAGTTGTTGAATAAGTGTGCTGGCGCGCGCAGAGTTTGTTGGCATCTCTCAAAGACAGTTACTGACTGCCTGAATTCAGGTGAAGCGATCCTATTTATTGATTTTTTGGGTTTCAAATCAGCTCCAGATAGTTGAGCGGGAAAACAGATTTGTTGCAACTTGCTACATTTTTTGGGCCCTGTTAACCAATGAGAAGTCAAGTTTGGAAAAGTGAAGTAATGATTGGTTAAAGTTGGTTTGGGAGAAATGTGCATTTTTTCGCAGGGGTGAGTAGCAAATATGGAGGATTCCATTACAGATCTTGTGTCGTCAATTTGTGAACTTGCTTTGGCAAATAGTTGGTTTGTCCAGCGAGTGGCATACAAATTTACAATAAGTGTCAAATTTCATTTTTACTTTTGAAGCTTTTCTTTCCTGTATTTTTTGTTTTTCAAAGGGCGAGGTCTATGCGGCATTGAAGAAGGTCGGCAGAGGCAAGTCGCCCGGTCTGGATGGTTTGCCATATGAATTGTACTTGAGGCTGTTACACATCCTTGTTCCGATTTTAACAGTTGTGCTCAACAACTGGTTCCGGTAGGGGTCCCTCCCCGACCGGTTCTCCAGGAGTGTGATCACGCTGTTTAAAAAGGGCAAGGGTGTTGGGGGAAAACTAGATGATTACAGGCCCATAACTCTGCTAAAAACAAAGTTAAAGATTTTGGCCAAGATCCTGCAGGAGTGCTTGCAGTCAGTTGCCAAGTCTCTGTTGGGTCCTGAGCAGACTTGTGCTGTGAGGGGCCGAACAATTCAGAGAAACCTGCATCTAATCCGCACGATCATAGAGGGTGTAAAAGACGACGATGAGGCCGCGCTGATCAATTTAGATCAGTCCAAGGCATTTGATAGGGTTGGCCATCGCTACCTTGCTGCTGTCCTGCAGGCCGCCGGATTCGGACCCGACTTCTGCCGCTGGATTGGCCTCCTGTATTGCTCCCCCAGTGCTGTGGTACAGGTGAACGAGAAGCTGGCGGGCGCTTTTGCGCTGTCTAGGTCGGTTCATGGGGGTTGTCCACTGTCGCCCCTACTTTATGCTATCGACATTCCTGGAGGGGCATGAGCCAGGGTTTCTGCCTACGCCGATGACATATCTGCCTTCGTGTCGTATCGCAGCGACATTGAGGCGCTACTGAAGGCGCTTGATCGGTATGAAAAGGTGATCCCGCCTACGTGGTTGATCCACCCTGGAAGTCGTATCACTATTCTGACTCGGCCCTGTTTAGGGATTCGTCCTAACCGACCCGACAAATCTTCGTTCGTCATCTTCCAGTTGCTGTCGCCGACAATTCTCCCATCCGGCAGTCAACCATCTACCACCGCCGATCAACTCTACACTCATTTCGTCGATACAACCGAATCAACTTCCCCAGAAGGAAACCAGTCATACCAGACCCAACACTGATACAAACATATTTCTCCTTCAGTACACTCTTGTACATTTTGGATAAATAAAATCGACGTTTATTGTTTTTTAGCACCTCTGCCTTTGTCCCCTCATTGTCTTGGCTGTTCGCACCTTTCTTCTAAAAGCTTGCGGGGGCGACATCCTCATTGGCCCCACAACAAGTGGTGACTTCCCGACGTGAGACAGCTAAGCGATGATGGAGTCTGTTAAGAGTGATTCTCCAGACATGATGGCCGCGATCATACTGCTACCTGCATACCACCATAATGCAAAGAACTGGTTCTTGCAGGTAGAATCGAATTTTTCCATGTTACGAATCACTTCACAGCGAGCTAGATTTGCAACCGTGATGCAGAAACCCCCATCCGATATGATGGACGAAATTTCTGATGTCCTCTCCGATTTGCGCAAACATGAACCGTACAATCACTTAAAGGAAGCGATCCTCAAGCGTACCGGGCGTTCCAAGGAGGACATGATTCAAGAGATCCTACGAAACATCACCAGAGGTGACAAGACGCCTACCCAACTTCTCAGGTATATGAAGAACCAGCTAGGAAAGCACAATCAACACTTTGTCCATCCTGGATTGCTTTGTCTAAAGTTAAATCGGGTTGCATTAATATTTTGGAAGTAGTAAGAAAAAGTTTACCCCATTTGAAGTGATCCTAAATTGTCAAATCTTTTTTTAGTTTTTATACAGAACATATTTAGTAATGAAGTCTAAATTACAATGAAGTAGTCTATATTTTTTTGCATACATTTTGTTACATTTTTATACAGTCTCTCCTGTTACATTTTGTTATCTATTTAAAAGTAAATATTTAAAAGTAAAAGTTTCTTGATGAAAACAAAATTTCTTGTTTACAGGTCCGTCAAGCATTCAGAAACATTAGGAGATCATTACCTGAAGTATTCAACATTTTTATTTTATTTACATTAACTCTTTGCCTGTTTGCACTTTTGGCATTAAAACTCTATTCTTCCAAGTAAGATATTTTCTTATTTTCCACTTAATTTGCTTATTGATATTTTGTTGTAAACTTTCAATGCTCGGTTCAAAAATTACTTTTTTCTGTGTCATGCAAGAAGAAAAAGACATACAGACTATTTTAGTAGTTTGTGCAAACCATCGCAAATATGAACCTTGCATTGTCATAATACAACCTTTAGTCACAACAAAACACCCAGCTGTTTTTTTTAATTCAGGACAACAACTTCAAACTAATGTAAAGAAAGTTCATAAGCGAACTGAAGAACTCTGTCTTGTGCTCAGCTTAAGTATAGATGGTATAGTATTTGAATGGCTGGCAGAGGGCCACTGCTCAATACTTCTTGGTCATTTCTGACACCCACCACAATGAACCCAAGTTAATTTCAGCCATTTTCCCTTACTACACCTGACCATGGCACCAACATCTCAGGGGCTGTTAGATATTGGGTGAGTGGAAGGAAATGCGTGCTTGCATGGGTGTATGCTGGAAGAAGGTGTAGCCACATGCAGTTGCATAGGTGTCCAAATGTTATGAAACTGGTCCGATTCTTGATCTGGACAGAGAGTCTGCCTAGATGTTCACTGAAGATTTGTCTCTGTCAATTTCTGTGTGTACAATCCTAACCTCTTTTTCCAATCTATCCATTTGCCACAACTTGATCAATAAAGATATTTACATATTTTTATATATAAGTGGCAGCAATATACTACAGGGCATTTTTTTCATAGATATCTTCTGGGTTCAACTATAAACAGTATCACAGTGTAGTATTTTTTTTCTTTTTCCAGCTTTGCGAATTCATTAAGAAACATGCAAGAATCTAGAATGATATGAAGTTTGTAAACAGATCCTAAACAAATGTAAACAGACAAAAGATAAAACAAAATCAGAAAACACAAAGATATTTCTCTTGGCCAAATTGAACTGACAATGCACTTTTTACTTACAACATTAGAAGTTACAAGAGACAAAATTTTTGAGGAAGAGAATTTCTGAAGGGGTAATTATAGAACTAAAAAGTTGTAAATGGAAGCATTACTACCTTTTATACTAAGTTAAGATACATGATGTGCAATTACAAAGAAAACAAATGATATGCCCTGATATCAGATTTTCTTTCACTGAGAGCAGCAGTCTGTGTAAAGTAGTGTAACAATTATTGGCATGGAAAGTGAAATCAGTATGCCAAATTCAAATTTCTTCTTAGTGTGTTATTTATTTGAGTCTTTCACACTCATAACTTTGATAATACATAAGTTCATCACTTCTCCCCTTTCCAGATATGAGTTAAATAACAGAATTGACTGGTCTTTTTAATTTTGGATGGCGGCCAGTCTAGGAAAAGAACCACTCTGAAGACAAAACCATGCAGAAAGCAATGAGAAACCACTCCATTATCTTTCTCACAAATAAAAAAGGAAAGCAATAAAAAGAGATGGCATTGAAGAAGTAGACTTTATAGGATTGTACACACACACAATTATTTCAGACATTTTATTTTGTATAGCCTGATGAATCTCTTTTGAAGTTTTGGTGATTTTTTATTTTTATAGTGCAACACCTATACATTCTCTGCATTCTTTTTTGCAATCTTGTATTTTTCAAATTATCATTTACTTTTTTCTATTACATTAATTACATATTATCTGTCTATTCTCTTTTCTTTACTACTATATAATAAATCTGTAGCTTACATATGCTAGTTTTAGTAATGGAAGTTAAAACCTTTATTTGGACTGTAAGGATTTAGGTCAAGTTATATTTTTTAAATGTGTTCTTTCCTAAACAATAGTCTCTTATCTAAGAAATAATATTTTGTCTCATATTTGAAATTTTTAGGAATCTATATTTTCCTGATGGCACGCCATACTTTCAGTACTACATTGATGCAGTATGGCAGTTATATATATTGGTAACCACTGCCAATAACCCTGATGTTATGTAAGTATACTGATATATAATGATTTCATTGACAGATCTAATTTTCTTTGATATTCTAAAAAAATATTCTAATGATTTAATTTTGTTTTGCAACAGAGTAAAGTGATGAAAACATATCAATTATTATTAATTTTTGACTGCTATTTTATTCATTTGTTTAATGGCTAATAACCGAAATGTAAAATCATTTTGAATCAATATAATTCAGAAAATTCAAATAGCTTTCCAGTCTTAAGTTCAACTTATTGTTGGATTCTGTTACACTTAGGTTGACTACCCTCTAACTGTTAAAGTAAGTATTGTTAATAAATAATTTAAGAAAAAAGACAACAAAAACAAGCAAATGCATTAGTTAGAAAAGTGATAGTATCCCTGTAAATTTGTGCTTTTTCTGGTTTCTATGGCCAGAATGGATACCATACAAGGCGATCCTTATACCAAGCTTCGTGAACATGTGGCTGGGGTCAACGACTGGGGGTGGACATGTGGAGATCTCAATTACATAACAATTACTGAGAACATTTTTAGCAAGGAATTTATTAGTAATATCCATTATATATAATATTAGGAAGCATCTTACAATTATTGACTTATTTCCATAAATGCAAATGTACAAAGAAAGAGCAAAAATACCACAGATTTACAGATGTTGAATGATTAGAAGTGCATAATCTGTTAAATAGCTCTTAAGGTATTGGATTCTGGTTGCCTTAGAACATACACAGGCTATGTAATTCTCAAAATGAGCCAAGAAATTTACCTTCTGTAACTCTACCACTAAAGGAGAGTGCCTTCATCAAAAGTTTCAGTAGGGTAGTTGGGACATAAGAGAGTTCGGACATGAAGGCTCCAGTGAGTTTCTCACCTCAGAATCCTCCTCAAATCATCCAGCCGTGAGTCATAGGATCCTCGTCTTGTAAAAAGTCTTTTTGAGTATGAAAAACCTCAATTTGTTAAGCTGTTGAAATTAACTGTTGTAGCAGTTTACCCAAAACCTGTTGAGCAACAAAATGTTTCCCAATGTTTAAAATTTTTGTGATGAAGCTGTAGCTGCTATTAAAACACACCCATTATTAAATGGGGAGGATACTACAGAAACAGTTAATTTCATTGAAAAAGTTAAAATTTTGGAAAATTGTTTGTGTCAAAGAAATATATGATGACACTAAGAAAAATGATTGACTGAAAAAGATGATATCAGATTTAAATGATGAACATCTGTTATTTCTTTCTAATTCTGGAAAAATGACAAAAAGAATGGGAGGAAATCAAGGAAAACGAATGAAATCATTAACAAGAGATATTAGTTTAATACAATGCAATGGTTTGATTGATGTTTGGAAATATTTGCTAAGTGGTGGGTTTAATTTTGTCATGCTTGGTGAATTTACCACGGACTATTTAGAAAATGAATTAAGGCAACGTTCTGGAGGTCCATGTTTTACAAAAGTTCAAAATGCACTGTCAATGTTTCTTTTAAAAAAATAGTTTGATATTCACACACCCTTTAAAAATGTGTTCAAGTTTGATTTACTCTATCGCGTCTGACAGCATAGACAAGGCCCTCTCTCTCCACCCGTTTGCTCACATATTCGTGTTTGGTGACTTTAACGCCCATCATACCAAGTGGCTCGAGAATGCTACTACTGACCGGGCAGGCATTCAAACACTTAATTTCTCAATTTCTCAATCCCTCACGCAGATAGTTAACTTCCCCACGCGTTTCGCCCTCAACCTGGCAGGTAAGGCCTCCCTTCTCGATCTGTGTTTTACCTCCATCCCCGAATCTTGTAGCACCACGCAGCTCTGCCCTCTTGGTAACTCCGATCATGCCGTGGTATCTGTTAAGATTTCCTTCAACTCCACACCCCGCAAAGAACCTCCCATCACTAGAACCTCGTTCTACTATCAACGAGCGGATTGGGACTCGTTCCGTGAATCCTCCGCGATGTCCCCTGAGATTTTGTCTTTACACTCCCTGTCCAAGAATGTGTTTCTGAGGTCTCATCCTGGGTTAAAGCTGGAATCGACGCTTTCATCCCCTCAAGGAAATTTAAGGTCAAGTCGCACTCCTCCACTTGGTTCTCCGCTGCTTGCTCAGCCGCCATTGCCCATAGGAACCACTTCTTTCACCTATTTCGTAGCGATATGTCGGACTGCAATAAACGTCTCTTTGCCTCCGCCCGTAACGAGTGTAAGCGTGTCCTCAACGAAGTTAAATCAATATTTGCTGCTCGGATGAAGGAGCCTATTGCATCTCGTAAATTTGGCTCCAAAGATTATTGGCGGCTCTGCAAAAGTGTCCTGAACAATAGAAAACCTTCCATACCTCCTTTATTCAACTAGTTCGAAGTCCTGACCTCCTCTGCCGATAAGGCTGAATGCTTTGCTCGGAAATTATTTATCTACTATTATTTATCTACACATCACTGACTACTGCTATAGGGTACCCTAGTCTATTCTACTGTTCTCTACTCTACTGATTCTCTTGTAGTGAAAGGGTCGTTTTTATGATGATGAGGGTTAGGATGATGAAATATCCTTCTTTTCTATCATCACTGATGACAAGATTATTTTTAAAATGATGAAATATCATCATCATCATTCTTGACTATAACAAAGACAATGAATGTACTCTTTATTTATTTTGGTGGTATATTTTTAAGAATAGTTGTAAAATATTCATAAATTTATTGAATTTAATTTTTGACAAACTATGTGATAAATTCTTTAACAAATGTCATTTTTCATTAATTTCACAGTGAGAAATATTACTTTTTCTCTTTATGAAAAACAGAAAAGTTCAACATACTTGAAAAAAATATGTTTGTTCAGTTAACATAAATTATTCATAAAAATTACTTTTATACTTAATATGTTCATTGTTGAAGAATAACTGCATAGGGAAAATATCAAATTTAAATTAACTTTATGACTTTATCATACTGAAAAAGTTTGTTTAAAGATAAAATATGCAAGTTCAAATAAAATAAATAAATATTATACTTACATTAATATCTTAAATAATTCAAGTTAAATTAATCTAAAGGTAAAAAGTAAAAATTTCTTTACAAAAATATTAATTTCTTAATTCAATTCCAGCAACAAACTTTCATGTATGAACAGTTAGCTTCTGGTAACTCACAGGCCTTGACATGGTGTAGAGGCCTGGGTATAAGGATCACCTTCATACAATATCCTTTGTGAAGGATGAACATCTTATATATACTATTTAAGTTCAAGCCAAATTGGAAGTTACTTCTTTATTCTTGCTTCATGTTGCTCATTTGAAAATTAAAAGTTATCAGCCCCAAAAGATGCAATCAAATCAACAATAATATTAAAAAAATGACTTAAAAATTAATAATGAAAATTTAATTTAAGGTTATAAGGTTATAGGTACTTATAACATTAGTAAAATATTATAAAATTCTCCTGTCAAAGTACAATCATTAAAGGGAACATTGCTTTCTTTTTGTTGCTTTTCAGGATGCCAGCATATGATTATAGTAATTGGTGGGCACTCTTTTTTGTGGTTGTTATCATTGTCTTACTCTATACTTTCATGAGTATTGTACTTGCTGCAATATACAATTCCTATCGAGATAATCTGAAGGTATGTTTTGTCTTGATTTTGTAATTACTACATATTATTATAGAATTCTGGCAAAATTACATGCAAGTACACTTTTTCTTGTAAATTTGTTTTATTTTAATAAATCAAAAATAATTTTATCAAATACAGACATTAATATGAATACCTAGTAACTGATATATATTAAGGAAGCTAACTTTGATGCATTTTGATGAGTTGAATTCAAATATGACAAAATTTCTAATATCCTATTGCTTCCAAAATATATACATTTTCATATTTTACATGTTGAGCGTGCGTAGCAGATTTTAAAGAGAGATTGCTAACTTCAAATTTTCCTTATTTGTCAAAGATTTATTTGTTTGTATTTTTTGCCATTTTTAACATGAGTGTGAAAATGTCATACCTTTACCATCTCAATGTTAAAAATGATTGAGAGGAAACAAGGACTTAAATAGGGTTATGTTCTGAAGCAGAATAATTATATGTATAAAATCTTTCAATTACTATATAAATAAAAAATAATAAAACACCGTTCGGTCAAGTATTTTATTGAGAAATGAAAATAAAGTACCTTACTACCACTTACCTTAACATGTCTACTATATACCTTTTGGTTTGTCACTAATGTCATATCACATTAAATGGCATATCTCTTGTTGGTGTCCAACAGTAGTCTGCAAGCACTGATGGATTAAATTTGACTTGGCATTTCTCCATGGGTGCAGTATCTTGGTGAAATAACCCACAATACTCATCACTTATTACTTCACAGTTTGGTGAGTTCAAAAATGAATTTTTTGTGACATGTTACATCCCATGCATTTGTATGCCTTGATGACATTTTCCATCAGCTTTGTCATGTTCTTGACAAAGTTTTCATCAGGCCCAGCTTTTTATGTAAGAGTGGCAACAAAATTTTACTGGATTCAATAAGTGGTGTATCATTAAAGAAAGTCACCAATCTCTCTTGAGATATTGGGAATCTTTTGCATAACTATCTCAATCACAAAGAAAACAGTAGTATTTTGTGGATTCAAGCTGCAGTCACATCAAAAGAACAACAACCTCCAAGTCATCAGAGAGTTGTAAGTGGTGTTCGTCATAACTGATGTACCGCAAAAGCTGTTTCATCTTGTCATTTGTTTCCTTCATATGGATTATATAGTCTAATGGAATTGATCTCAAAACACATTCATTATACAGAAACATTACTTTAAGATGTGGCTTTGATGAATCTATAAACAATCTCGTTATATGGATGATGAATGATGTTGGAAACTTCTATTAATATTGTTGTAAGGCTGATCATCTTATATGGAGAAGAATATTTCAAATTTCTTTTGATGGTCACAGAAAGTGGAAACACTGTCATCAGCTGCCAGGAGATGCCAGTTATGTTATGCTTTATTATAACAGCTCTGCCTTATTCTTTACTAACTCCAAATCCCTGATAAGGTTGTATAGTTCACCTTAGTTATGCAGTAAGGAGGGAAATATGTTAAATTTTGGATCATGTGACATTGATGGTCCAGGACTTAACTTTCAATCTCTTCTGACTCAAGTGAGAATGATTCTAGTACAATGGGTTGAACTAGTAGTCTTTCTCCATGTGATATTGATTGAACAGATGATGGAATGTTTGGATACTGCACAGTGTTTTTTTCTTGTTTAAGAAACATTTCCCAAGTGATTCTGAAGGAATCATGCAGAATTAATCGTCACTGCTATGATATGTTGGTTGTCTCCAAGTCATTGGCATGGCAAAAGGTACAGATTTCTTTTGGATGTTCAACTACTTGCAAAGATTTTTTGCACAACTGTTATAGCATATGCAAAAGGCCCATATCTTGTTTTGGTTTCCAATTTTGCATAAAAATATTAGTGGTTTTACTAATCTTAGTAGTTATTATGTAATGCAAAAATTACTTCACCACAAATATAGCAGAAGTTATCTCCCTTGTTCACACAGATTCAAAGCATCTGAAATGCTAGCTAATTGAAATGACCCTTTTACTTAATCAATTTTAATTAAATTTATTTTGTGTAGTAAAAAAAGAAATGTTCTTTTGTGGTAAATTTCTTTCTTCAAAAGATCACAGCATGTTTTACCTGAGTAAACAGTAAGAAAATAATGACAGATTGCATAAGGTTATAGAAAGTCTGGGAAAATGCTATGATGATTGAATAATGATGCTATGAAATTATATTAATAAACAATTATGTAAAAAATGCTGAAAACTTTTGTAACAACTAACTCAACCAGCATTTGACAACTCTAAAGAGTGCAGTGGATATACATTTTTCAAATGTATAATGACATGCTATGAGAAATGAATTGCAAGTGAGAGTGACATAATTGTCTAACATTTATTATACACTACTAACACAATATTTACAATCCTTTTATGCAAATTACTTTTTTCTCAAGAAAACTTTGTTACTATTTTCAATTTCTAGAATGAAGTAAAGGAAGTTATCTATGCAAAAAGAAGAAAATTGACAGACGCTTTTGAAATTCTTCAGGAAAAGAAACATGGTCATTATGTCATAACAAAAAATTGCTGGATGGAATTAATGAAGTATGTGGTTCCTAAACGTAGTGTCAAACAACATGAATTGTTACTTCATGTTTTGGATCAAGATCAAAATAATTCTGTTAGTAAGTATCTAAAATAACTTTTTTTATTGATGTATGTATTTTTCATATTTTAGTTGCATATATAGGGATAAGTAGGGATAACCTGCCCTTGACGGAAATTGGATTTTGGCAGAAAAGATAGGTATCATGTGTTGAATGAATTCTCACTGCAGACTTGCAATTGCGCAATTTGGTAGAAGAGTTTCATTTCCAAAAAATGTAAAAGTGTAACAAAAGTATTTGTTTGTATTAATTATACATTAACATATTTTTTGTTGTTGAATCTCAAAAGGAAAAATAACTTAAAAATGCCTCCAGTTTTAGAGAGCAAAATACATTATGCAGAATGAAACTAAAGTTAACTGATTCTTAAGATTGATTGGAATCTTGGAATAATGATGAAGAAGACCATAATATCATTCACAATATATTAATGAGATGTAGTTTATTCAGCTTTGGGGTTCATAAATGTTTCAAACTAGCCTTTTTTCACTTCTAATGTTTGACAGCAGTATATGGAGGTCTGAATCTTGAATTGCTTGTTTGCAGTTATGACGATGATAGAACAACAGTAGCCTGTGTTAGCTAGTTCATATTTATGTGAGAGAAACTTCTGCTTACTATTACTAGCTGATCTCATTTATCTATTCACATGTCATGTATTGCTTGTGTACATGCTCTCCCACTCTTCTCTGGAAGTTTAGGTGGAACTGTTTCTTCTCTTTCATGGCTTTTGTTCCAGTCTCTCCAATTTTTAAAAAAATCATTTCACTCCAAGTAAGGCAATAAATAAGATACAAAGGGTTAATGAATGTTAGAGAATATGAGAAAACTACTATTAAAGAGGGGATAATCATAAGAATTAAGAAGACAGAAGATAATGATTGACATTGCGCTTAATTTTTAAAGGTAAAGATGAAAGTTGACGGGGAAGCTGGAAGAGCCTTTCACAAGGGAGAAGTGTAATAGAAGAAACTATTAGCATAGAACTTACAGTTACATCTAGTCATTTCAACTGTAAAATAACAAGACTTAGCTGACTCACATTGTTTATATTGGAATTCAACCCGCCAATTTGTCATCAGTGATGGGTTAGGATGACTTAATCAATAATGTTATAATCACATGGCCCTTAGATATTTGACTAGCTGTTTCTTAACTGACTTTCAAAAACTATTCTTCTTACATAAGAACAACATTCAATATATTTTTATGTAAAAAATAACCAGGTGCAGATCTATTGCAGAATTTTTCTTGCACGAAATCATTTCCTCCAGAATTATTCTGCTGAAGAAACTACATCAATCTGATGGTTTGGTCTATATGGAAACCACTTAGTCTGTGGTGTGTATTCACTCATGCCATAGGAGTAGTGGTATTAGAATTGTAGGTTTGTTTTCACAAATATAAAAAGAGAAAAAATAGATGTATAAAATACAGAAAAGGCCTGACAAATTGTATGGTAATTTCCTACAATTTCATTTATGTATTTGTGTGTATTGGTGTGTTATTTTACATTACAATTGTGATAATGTTCATGTTATAAAAGAGAGTAAGTCACTTCATAATATCACAAGTCCTATCACGGAGGGAAATTACACACGTGTTGTCATCACTACAGTTCTTGGGTGAAGAGATTTAATTTCACATCTTTTGATGGGATGTCTGTACTTCCAGCAGGAACAGTCCCTGTTGCATGCTGGGAGTAATTTTATTATTTTTATTTTTTATTTATTTAATTTATTTTAAACAAGGTTTAAATTCTATTTTATTTTTATTTATAATTTTCATCATTATTATTTTATATTTTATCTATAATAATAACAATGTTCTTCCATATAATATCCCCATGAAATAATGGAGCTAATCGGTAGTGATGGATGCCTATTTAAAATAGTCCTTCTTTTTTTGGTGGTTTTTGTTGAGGTGTTTGTTTTTAGGTGTATTCAATTATTTTTTGGTTTGTACAGGGGTAAAGATTTTTTTTGTTTGTTTCTTCCTATCATTCTGTGGTGTCACTGACTTCTTTTTTTTATCTCACAGTAACAACTGTGAAGTATTTTTTTTTTGAATTTTCTGTTACTAGGAATTTTCATGTCTGGTATAGTATCCAGAGTACAGAGGATTTCTTAATTGAGTGTAATGGTCCTTCATAAAGGAGTGATATTTGTGTGTAATGGTCCTTCATAAAAGAGTGATATTTCCCGCTTAAATTGCTTAATGATTTTTTTAATTTTTGGTAGCAATAGAATTGTTAGGTTCTATTCACAGTTTTGGAGGTAGTAGTTGGATTCCAATGACAATGATAGGTGCAGTTTTCTTTTCATTTTTTAGGGCATTTATCCAAGTCGGGTTTTTTTCTCTCTTTTTTTATCTTATCCATTATAGTTGTTTTTTTATGCTGGTGCACTATTATTTGATTTGTTTGGGAGTGGTATAATGTTATTGGCAAATATTTCAAATTTTATGAAACAGCCATTTGATGGTATTTTCATAAGTTCTGGAATTTTAATGGATACTATGCTGTCTTGTTCCATATCGAGTGTATGCAAGTAAAAAAAATGTGGATAAAGAAGAGGTACTTAAGTGTTTCTTACTTTGCTTGGTTAATTTTATTATTTTTAATGTTGAGAATTTCAAAGTCTTTGTTTTTTTTATGTTGTTTTCAACAAAAGTGTGGCTTCTTTTGGTTTCTGGTTTCCTTTCTTAACATTGTTTTTTTTTTTAAGTGGCATGGTGAATAAGAATTTTTTTTTGCATGTTAAGCAGTCACCATAATTTGTGGTGTTTGTATGTTTTTCTTGTACATATTGATGGTTACCATAATTTGTGGAGTGTCATAAATTTGGACTTGTTTTCACAAGGAAAAACAGTACAAACAAATGTACATAATAATAATAAAAAATCATGATAAAGTGTGGTAATTTCATATAATTTTATTTATATATTTGTGCATATTAGTGTGTGTATTTTACATTACAATTGTGATAATATTCATGTTATAAAAGGGAATAAGTCAGTCTGTAATAACCCAATATCACAAGTCCTATCATGGAGGGAAATTACACACGTGTTGTCATCTCGACAATTCTTGGGTGAAGAGATTGAATCACACGTCTTTTGGTGGGATGTCTGTACTTCCAGCAGAAACAGTCCCTGTTACATGCTGGGAGTAATTTTATTATTTTTATTCTTTATTTATTTAATTTATTTTAAACAAGGTATAAATTTTATTTTATTTTATTTATAATTTTCATTATTATTATTTCATATTTTACTAGCAGCATGGCCTGGCATTGACCGTGCTTGATTAAAAAATCGTACAACTCATACAGTAATCGCTATCACTTGACTGAAAATATTTTTGCCCTTCCTTGCATTTAAAGGAGTGCCCTTTGCCATGCTGATGTTGCTACATGCCTTACTTCTTGCCTATCTCACACTGAATTTTTTCTAAACTCTATACTAAACATTAAATCTGTTACGAAAAAAGAACTAAACAAAATGAACACAAAACGATCAGCTTGAAAAAAGAATGTTAACAACAAATACTTTTTCACACCCAACCCAGTTCTGCAGAATCAGAATCAACCTTGAGTTTAAGCAAGCGAATGAGCCAATTGGAGTAAAGTGTATGCAGATTTAAATTTTTCCCACTTGTGACGAATGCAGCTATTGATTTTTTTGCATGCTAGCGTGCTAGTTAACATTCATGTCAGTCAGCTGTTGGCTCTCATGTTGGCCAATAGAATCTTCCTGCCTATTCGTGGCAGTCAGCTATAGGCTCTCACTCTGGCCAGTAGAAAATGGCTGCAAACTACATGAAAACTGCCATAGAAGCATGAAAAAATTGATTATTTCCACTATTGATGGGAGTTGGGAAATGCAAGGTCAGTCTTGGCCTTCCCACTAACTTGGAGCATGTGCATGTAAATTTTGGTGCAAATCCGTCAGAAATTGCAGCCGTGTATTCGTTACACACACACACACACACACACACACACACACACACACACACACACACACACACACACACACACATCCTGCCTTTTATAGATAGAGATTTTTATTTTTTCCTACAAGTTTCAAGAGTTTTTAGAAAGAAATAGTTTTGATTCCTGTTGAGTAAGTAATTTATTGCTTGTCATCCTTTTCACCCAACTTGAGTGCAATGTGTGTGTACAGAACCATAATCAGTTGTACAAACTTTTAGTTATTTTCACATTTATTTTTAGTTCTTTTCACATTTATTTTGAACATGCTGGCTATCTCCTGTCTTAATTATTCTTCAGTAATATCTGTATTTGATTTCTATCAACCTAAAATGGACAATGCAACTGTGAAGCATAGTTCAGTGAGAAATCTCTAGCCTGAAACTTTGTGACCCATTTTTGACACATTCATTTACAGAGGCTTTTCTAAAAATTTCAAAAATCTTTTACTGCATTTGGGTCACATTTTTATCTTAAAATAAATACCAAAAATGTTTCTTATTTTCTATTTTCAATGTTAAAATCAATAAACAAAAATATGTCATTTTTAAAATTATTTTAAATGATTCATGTTGATATGACAATTACAACAATAGTAACCTTTTCGAATAAAGTCAGTTAAAATAAATGCTTCTGAATTATCTAACACCAAAAACAGAATTTTGATCAATATGGTTTTTTTCACTCTTTGGAAATAAATAGAATAATTAGTGAAACAGAAATAAATTTACTATTAGTTCACAGCTATTTACTTACATTTTTTATCTATATTTATTTATCTTTCAGAAAAAACACAATTTTTATATTTGGCTGATTTACTTATGTTGCCCCTGACAGAAGTTTGGGATCGAATGACTTTACTTGAAAAATATTTTCCCAGGCTTTACAACTCACCTATTAGCTCTGTTATCAAGACTATTGTGAAACACAGGTAAGCAATTTGTGTGCATATGGAATTAGAAGTAACATTATAAATGGGATAAAAGACCTGGATTACAGTAGTTTTTTTTAATGGTTCTAAATGTATAATTGTAAAGTATAATGAAATTGTTTTATTTGTATGGAGAGTGATACTATATATAAATGTATATTTAAAAAAAGTATATATAAATATATGTTTATATACTTTGAGTAATTTTTAGTTTTGTGTCAAAATTAATTCTTTTTTATGTAGATTTGAGCAAACTAAATGCAAATTCATTCACAAATTTATACATTTTTTTCAATATTCATTCTATTTTCCCATAAATCTTTTTATCTTAAAACTCCAAAGTATTAATATTCTAAATATTTTCTTGTTAATTGCAACATTTTTTCTGGAAAAAATGATTGGGTCAATTTTAGTTGGCCTCAAAATATGGTAACAACTTTTCCTCAATAAAAGAACACTACTTTGGATGACAGATGAGAGACTTTTGACTTTTCATTGGCGAAGAAGGTAGATATGTGTTGCAAGTTGTGGATAGGTTTTTTTTTTACCCCTTCTGTTTTATGCCCTCCCTTGGTATTTTCTGATATTGATCTTGTGAGACTGATTCATGAATTTTGGAATTATGACCCTAGATTCATGATTTTTGCAATTGAGCTTCCTCATTGATATTTTCTCATATGACTAACTCTCATTTCCTCCTCGTTCCAAATCTAAGAAAGAAGTTTCACACAGAAAGGTTTTTTTTCCCCCAAAACTGCCAGCTTGTTGAACAGGTTCCCACGTGGGTGCTTTCACAACTACTGCAATTTTAACTTTTTCAAGTCAAGGATCCATTGTTATCTATCTTACTTGTCTTCATAATGCATTGAATGAAATTTAGTTTTAAAATTTTAAGGCAGAATTTTTTACTTGTCTTCATAATGCATTGAATGAAATTTAGTTTTAAAATTTTAAGGCAGAATTTTTTTCTTATGATGAAAACAAACTTAAAAAATTTCAGTGAAAGTTGAACTAAGTGAACTTGGTTTGCATAAAAAATGCTATTCAAAAGTGTTTGTTCTAGCATCTGGGAGCTTATGATTAATTCATATATATCTATCTGTGTGTGCATGTTGTAATATTTCATGTGGTGTGTTTTGGCATGTTCAAAAGTGTGTACAGTGTCCGTGTCTCATGGTAAGCTCTCATTTTTTTATTTCACATTACGTCAGAATCTCATTCAGGAATTTCTTGTATCAAAGGGCATAATTCATGGTTAACTACTTTCTGCACACATACCATCAAGATGACAGTACAGTTATGTGTAGTAATGAAGCATATATGTGATTAGTAACAGGCGCACATGAGTGATGAAAGATAAAGAGAGAATGAAATATGTGTAGTAACATATGTGGAAACAAAAGGAGTTCCTGCAGAGAAAAAAATAACAGTTCATTGAGTGGTTTATAAGTCTTTGGTGGTTTTAACTTATGAGTTGAATGTTGCAACTCTGATGAGCTGTTTCCATTTTTTGTTGCTACTGAGCTTTGTTGCTTGGACGATTTTTTGTTGTCTGTTCACCTTGGTGTGCTGGTGTTGATTCAGGCACTACTTGCTTGTTTTGATTTTTGTCAATATCATCCATGTCTGGCGGTGTTGGAAACAATGAAGAGTCCTCATCAGTTCTATTAAGGGACAGCTCTTGTTTGAGTCTGAATGGTGAATGATCTGGACATTACTTCTGCTTGCACTATGCCTGATTTATTCCATTTCTTATGCAAAGGGTGTCAGATATGAACTGTATCTCCTGGAGTTTGTTTCCTGAACTCACTGTCAGTGAGTATAATGTTTTTGTTTGGCCTTACTTGGAAATTTGCTTTCAATATGGTGCTCTTATTTTTGTTTATTTGTTTATTTCTTTGCTTTCTCCCCATCAACATTTCTGTGAGTGATAATCTGTGATTGTTTGGCATGCTGTGGTTCAACCAATGAGTCCCTGTAGAATGTTTTTCATGATTTTTATCATTTTTTTGGCAAGGCAATTCACTTGTGGATATTGTGGGGATGATGTGATTTTGAAGTACCACTTTGTGACAAATTGTTGGTATTGTGCTGACATGATGCATGGGACATTGTCCATTAATACTGTTAGTGTTATGATACAATAGACATAGGGATGGATCTGATTAATCATCAAAACATAGGTGAGGTAAATATACATTTATTTACATTCAGCAGTGATTACAATACTGGGGATAGGAAGTGGGTCTTCTAAGGGCAGTTAAAACCCAGAAACACTAAAGAGCTTCAACCATATATAATCTTGGCCCCACAATGGTCTGTGTTACCACTCCAGGTTCCCATAACTTGGTTTTCTTATCCTGAATGTGAACTTGTTGGCCTGCATGCAACAGTGGATGCTGGTGACTATTCTGTTGGTCATACCTGTCTTTTGCCTTGTCCTTATTTTGTTGCATTTTTTATCTGGTTAACTCATCTCCAAGATGTTATTTTGAGACTAATGGTGTTTGAATGGGTCTTCCATTCAGTAGTTCAGCTGGGGATTTGAGATTGGTTGAAGTCATTGTCAAGTGACAATCAGTGCAAGTTTCTCAGGCTTTCAGAAGCTTTTGACTAAGAGAAGTGGTGATGATGTTGTATGCTTGAAATTGAAATTCTCTGAAAAAGTGGCAAATTCCTTGCTTGTATATTGTAGCTCATTGTCACTGTAGACCACTTCAGGAATGCCTTGCTCCTCAAATAGCAGTTTCATCTGTTTGATCACTGTGGCAGATGTGGTAGAATGCAGGTGCTGTAAGAGTGGGCTTCGGCTGTGAGTCACTAGAGATATTTATTCCCTCCCATTGTGAAGAGATTTGTATTGACATACTGCAATAGGTAAGAAGAGCTTTCATGCTAGTGCAATGGTTTTGGTTGAGTACTTGGTCGGTATTTTTGGCAAGTGGGACATTTAGCAACCATTTCCTAAATATCTTTGTTTATTCCTATCCAGAAAACAGCAGCTCTAGCTTGTTGAAACTCATCTTGAGAACTTTAACTTTCATTGGGTGCCTGTTAAACATGTATCTGACAAATACGGTGGTGAATGTTGTCAGTTCCCTTGACTTTTTGTTTAGCTTCATCTGCCAATAACCCAAATTGACATCCACGTTTGTGAACCATTTTCACTGTTCTTTTTGAAACAACATCCTCAAATGTAGGGGTCACAAAATAAGGTTGCAGTGTGGCTTTGTTTAGGTCTCTGGAGTCTAGGCAGAGCCTGACTGACCCATTGGCTTTGGTAATACAAAAGAAAGTTGACCCATGGGGTTATGATGTCCATTTTCACTAGTGAGTCTAGCTCACTTTGAATTTGCTACAGGAACTTGCCAGGGTGGGTGCACAACTGAGGCTATTGCTGGGTCTACTTTTATGGAGTACTCTTCTGGCAGACATCCAATGCTGTCAAACATGTCAGGAAATTGTTGAATAATTTGTTCCCACATTTTAGGATGCCCTTTCAGGTTTTAGGGATAGGTTTTTCTTCTCCACTGCCTTTAGTCTCAAGGTAGTATTACCTTCCTTTTGAGTGAAATGTCTGCCTTGATTGCAAAGTTGAGTGTCACTAGTCCCAACTTTCTGGATGTTTGTAGCCCCAGCAGAATTGGCCTTTTGTTTTTGATGACATGGAATGTTGTACTAGTGGACCTATTGCAATATCTCACTCCCAGGAAGCATGCTTCTGTTTACTCTATCATAAAACCTCCAAATGCAAACAGTCACACTGTTGTTTTTTGAGTGGTAATTTCAATTGTATGAAGACAATCATGATAACAGCTTGCATACAGCAGTGTAAATTTTTGCATTGATTCCTAACTGGAGTATTTTGTTGGCTATTCTTAACTTTGCAGAGGCTTGTGTTGTATTTAAGGGTATGCTGTGTACCTTTTGATGTTCTGTGGCTATTGAATAAAAACATTAGAATTGTCCCCATCATCAGACTCATCTTCGCTATCATTATAGGTAGCTGTATAAACATTTACTACTTTTTACAGACTTGGGTTGTCCAGTTTCATTAGTCTTGTCTTGTAACTCTAGATTCCCATAATGACATGGTCACATATCATATAGTCTTTTAAATGCTCATACTCATATCTTCCTGCTTCTGTCTGTATGTCTGTGAGAAATAACAGTAAAGTTTTGCCTTGCCGTTGTGTCCTTATGTTAAGTTGATAACATTATCATTATAGGTAGCTGTATAAACATTTACTACTTTTTACAGACTTGGGTTGTCCAGTTTCATTAGTCTTGTCTTGTAACTCTAGATTCCCATAATGACATGGTCACATATCATATAGTCTTTTAAATGCTCATACTCATATCTTCCTGCTTCTGTCTGTATGTCTGTGAGAAATAACAGTAAAGTTTTGCCTTGCCGTTGTGTCCTTATGTTAAGTTGATAACTTTTGTGGGCTATATCTTTCTTGCCTTGAAATTTATATCTTTTTACCTAGAATTTTCTCACTCACACCTTATTTTACTTTTTCTGTGTCAGTGAATGTTAGGGCATTGTATATTTCTATTGCCCTTTTTAGGCGTGTGCAGTTTATTTGTTTTTTTTTGTTTATCACACCATATCTGAATCTCATTCATGTATCAAGGAGTGTAGCTCGTGATTAACTAGTTTCTGTGCAGATGCTACATATGTGTAATCAATTTATTGCAAGGATAATGAAGCTTGGCTGTTGCTTTGGATATTGCAAAAGCATTGAACAGGATTTGGCACATCGGTTTTCTTTACAAGTTGAAAATGTATGGTGTCTCCGGACAGATTTTTGAACTGATTCAATCTTTCTTATCAAATTGGGAAATGAAAGTTTTCCTAAATGCCCACTCTTCTAGATCTTTTTGTACTAATTCAGGTGTCCCAATTGCTCTATCCTTGCTCCTACCTAGTTTTTAATTTCCATTGACGACCTTCCTGATGGCATCAGCTCTCAAATTGGTATCTATGTTGATGCCACAACCATTTTTACCTGTCTCGATAGTAAGCCCGTCATTGCGATAAGGTCAAATTAGTGGCTGATGTCAAAAACAATCTACAGTCCATTGTTAACTGGGGCAAAGAATGGGTTGTTAATTTTAATGTTTCCAAAACAAAACTGCTCTCTATTAATCATCTGAGAGACCTCTTTCTGCCTTCCATCAGCATGACTGATGCCAACCTTCAAGAGACTGACTCGTTGCACCTCCTCAGACCAACATTCTGGATCAGCATGAAGTGGAAAGTCTATATTGAATCCATTGTTAGGTCAGCTACTAAAAAAGTTGGTTCACTTTGTTGCACTAGACTATTTTTCTCTCTGGAATCTACCATGTATATCTGTGTCTACCATTCGTCCATGTTTAGATTATTGCTATATATGGTGAGGTGATCATGCTATATATTTGGAGATTCTTGATAAAGTCCAGTGAAGAATCTGCAATATTATTGGTACTAACCTGGCATCTCGGCTTCAGTCACTTTCCCACTGCCTTTTCTATAAATAAGCTTTTCACTATGGTACATAGACTTTATGAAATTAAGCACAGTACTAGATTGGCAGAAAGGTCTAATTCTTTCTAAATTTTTTCACACCCAGTAACCCCTTGCGTCTTAGTGGCTTTACTACCTTGCTTGGGGTAAATTCGATTAAAAAAGTATAGATTTCAAAGAGAAAGTTCAGTATTTAGTTGAATGGAAAGAATGCAAGTGAAGATTGAATATTTGAAGTGAAAGGAAAAGAGCAACTAGTCAAATATTTAGTCTAATCTCTACTCCTGACATCAGTTGCTATTACCATATTACATATAACATTTATATAATTTTATATGAATGAATATATTCTATACCATTTTAAAAGAAATACAGCAGTTGATAATCTTAAGTCTCTATTTTGGCTGATGGTGTTGCTGATGAGGGCAATGAATTATAATTATATTATTATAATGGATGAAGTTGAGGCTGAGGACTTTTGAAGAAACTGAATTCAACATTTACAAAAGGAATAAATTTCATGTGGATGAATTTTGCATATATATATTTTATATAATTAATAACAATACAAGAAAAGAGAAAATATACTTGTGTGTATACATCCAAAAAGAAGAAAAACATTTTTGAATTACTGTTATGTTAGGAGGTGTGTGTGTGTGTGTGTGTGTGTGTGTGTGTGTGTGTGTGTGTGTGTGTGTGTGTGTGTGTGTGTAATGTACACATTCTTTTGAAGTTAAGAAGAAGAGTGCCAGGTTGTTTCTACTACATCTGGAGTGAAAAGGGGGAGAAGGTTTTATTGCCCTACCCTTTTGTAATCCTGGGCAGTAAAAACAACTGGGCCAAACATCAATACTACAGTAAAAAAAAACAAAAAAATATTTGCATATCTATAAAATTGTTAAAAATATTGAAAGATAATTTGCAATTCTAACAATGAGTATTTCACTTTGTTCAGAAATTTTCAAAACATTTTTGTCATTTTCCTCATATATTCACACATGTCTTCGGTTCTTGTGTAAATAAATGATGCATTTTGTTTCATCCAGGTTCTGATAAAGTGTTACTTTAAAAGAAAAATGACACAAAATAATTTTAACTTTCATGTGCATCGTCATGGAAAACTTGTAATTTTGATACTGATTTTGAATATTTCATATTTTGTATATTTCATATTTTGAATATTTCATAAAAACTAATTCAAATTATAATTGATTTAACTGCTTTGCATTTGTATTTTTCATCTGATGCATCATTGAAATTTTCATTTAAAATATTTTTTCAGATTTTTTCGATGGTTTTTTGATATATTGATTTTTATCAATGCATGGATCATTGGATTCAGTATTAAAGAAGCAGATTGGTTTTTCTTATCCATTTTCTTCTTGGAGATTCTCTTTAAACTGTATACATTTGGAGGTGTTAAATTTTTCAAACAGTTTTGGAATATGTAAGTATTCATAATTCAACATACCTTATAATTTGAATAAATGAAGCTTTGAGTTTTATGTGTTAATTTTTCATACATTAATGTTTTCTATACTTTTTAAAATTTCTGATATTTGTTATGATTTTTAAAACTGAAGGGAAGAAAATGTGTTAGGTAATAACCAAAGTATTTACAATGGCATGTCATGCATGAATAGGTATCCCTGCATATACTTTCAGTGGGCAACCCCGTGGCCATATAATCCTTTGGTCTTAGTCACCTTTGGCTTGTTTGTGATGCCTTTGTATAATGGACAGTGACAATTATTTTAGCCTTTTTTCACAATAAAATTCTTCTCATGACAGTTACAATTTAAAGTAATAAAAGTAAACAAGCAAAAAATAACCTGAGCACCTCAAACATTTTATTTGGTACTGATCTACTGTCATTGAATTAAGTTGTAGTCACCATCTGATTTTGGTATCATATGTTCCTATTTTGAAGCAGATATTATTTTATTCCTGCATTTTGGAGTTTCATAAATTCCTCTTTTGCTATGTCAAATTTCTGTGGCGATAGTTTGATGGAAATTGGTAGTGCTTGAATAAATTCATGTCAAACTATATCCTCAGAAATTTTTCATTTAGATATAATGAAGGATGTCCTATCATGTTGGAAAATGACATCAGTTTGTTGAGCATCTCTTTGTTGAGAATTTTTCATGTGAACTTATTATGGCTTTTTTAGTGTCCTTTCGGGGGAGCATGGCTGTTTGTAATTTTCCAACTATAACTGGAGGAAGCAATGCCAGTATGTGGTAAATTTTTTTGCTATACTCCTTTGATGTCTACAATACAGAACTGGGCTTCCATGATGGAAAATCATGCTTGCATGTTGAATTCAATGAAAACAGGTGGCTTGATGGATACAGCCTGTACTGAACGGTACTAGCTGGGTTGCATCTGTTCAGTTTCACTGTAGGACATGGTGTAATGTTTCTTTATTATATGTATCAGGTATGTCAGAGATTATAACTTATGGAGGATTTATGGAGGTTATTTTCTGACAACGCCCTTATGTAATGATTAAAATAAAATGCACAGTGTTGATAATAGATTGATAAATAAATTTTTATATAACACAATATAAAAACACTGAAGGATAAGACAAAAGTTGAAGTTTCAAGAGTTCAAGTATAAAGTCCTGGTGCATAAGAGAAATAAAAAGTGTATATGTGTGTATATATATATATATATATATATATATATATATATATATATATATATATATATATATATATATATATACATTCGGTCAAAAAGTATTTGGCCATCCCCAAAGATTTTTATTTCTTATCCTAGAAGTGTTATTTTTAATGAAACAACTTAAGCACCCCAATGGCTTTATTTATTATACTAAATACAAATCGTCCATAGTAACTTTGACTTTAGTATAACCAGATATCTTTTGAAAAATTGATTTGAAGGTGTTTTTCTTCTTTAGTACTGAGCATGAATAAAACCTTTTCCAAAAATTACATTATGCCACCACTTGAACTTACATTAGACTCTAATGTGTTGAATTACTGCTTGCTAGATACTATCTGTTTTAACTTTGCTGCCAATGTACCTTTCCCAGTAGTGAAATCTGTTATTCTTATTTTGTTTAAATTATAACCTAAATTTTCCAACTTTCTTCTGGATCAAACCATTTTCTCAAAAATATTCCCAAAACACATGTACTTACACTTGAACAAAGACAAGAGATAAAAAAAAGAAGGCTATTCAAGCAGAGAAATTTTTAAAAAATCCCAGAACTATAATGTTATTAGACATCAGGAAATGGGACAAAACCAGACTAAAAGTAGGGCTGGTAGACCAAAAGCAACAACAAGAGCAGAGGACAATTTCATCAGAGTCACCAGCTTGTGTGACAGAAAGGCTGACTGCTTCAAACATCACTGCACAACTGAACCAATGTCATGAAAAAAAAGTGTCAACATTCACTCTGAGGAGAAGACTCTGTGAAGTTGGCCTATATGGCAGAATCACTGTCAAGAAACTACTGTTGATGAATCAAAACAATGTTAAATGGCTCCATTGGGTCAAGGCGCACAAAGACTGGACAATAGCGCAGAGGAATAAAGTCCTTTGGACTGACAAATCAAAGTTTGAAATCTTTGGGTCAAATAGGAGGGTCTATGTGTGGCAAAGTGTTGGTGAAAGAACTGCAACCTCTTGTATCACACCAACCATAAAGTATGGAGGAGGCTCTGTTGTGGTGTGGGGTGCTTTTGCCAATTGCAAAGTTGGGGATTTGCACCAGGTGAAGATCAATTTGAATCAGACTGGGTATCACATCATACAGCAGCATCATGTAATCCCATTTGAAATGCAGCTTGTGGGTCAAAGATTTGTACTCATGCAGGATAATGACCCAAAGCATACTAGTAAACCCTGCCAAAAGTACATTAAAAGCAAAGAGGAACAGCATGTTCTTCAATTGATATCTTGGCTGGCGCATTGAACTGGTGTAGGATGAACTTGACCAAAAAGTCAGAGCTAATCAACCCACAAATGTGGCTCATCTCTGGCAACTCTTGCAGGAAAGCTAGGCAGAATCATCTTCAGTCTACCTCCAGTCTTTGGTGGAAAGAATGTCAAGAATCTGTGAAGCAGTGATAGTAGCCAAAGGGGGTCATTTTGATGATTCAAAAGTTTAAGAAGTTTTTTGTGTTTTTTTTTGTTTAATTTGTAGTTAATGTGGCTCAGGAAGACTTGTATTTAGTATAATAAATAAAACCATTGTGGTACTTAACTTGTTTTATTGAAAATAACACTTTTAGGATGAGAAATAAAATTTTTTTAAGTGTGTTCAAATACTTTTGTTTCCTTCACAGGTATATTTCAAACATATCATTAAGTCTGGGTTAGCTAGTAGTCATAATTCAAAATGAGGATTGGAGCTAGTACATATAATTCACAACTAGGGATAAATCTAAAGTTAATTATTAGGTATATTTCAAAGTTAAGCTTAAAGATATGGTTAGCTATTAGTTATATTATGAGCTTAGGGTTATATTTAGTTATAAATCAAAACAAGGTTTAGAGCTCGGGTTACCTAATAGATATACACTCCTAATCAAAATCTTAAGACCAGATACAAAAGGGTTAAAAAATATAAAATACTATTACTTTAATCAAACTATATTTGCGAAACATTTACATTTAATTAGAAAATATAGTTTATCACAAAACAAATGAAAATTTTAAGCTTTTATTGTAAGAATATTTTGTAGATAATAATGATTTACTAATTGCTACTAATTAAAACATAGCTAGGGTTAGAAGAGGTGTATTTATACATTTCCCAAGTAAATATAATGAACCCAACTGGAATTGGAAATAAGCTCTCCAATTTCCAAATCCGAGCTGTTATCCATTACCTGCACATTTACAACATTTGGTACTCTGAAGGGGTCACCCATCTTAGGTAGTGGCCACGCTTGATGTTGCTTAACTTCGTTGATTGCACGAGAAGTGTTTCAACGTGATATGGCCATAAACCTTCAAAACAATGGTAATCATACTAATAACCAAATTCGAGATGTGGTACTATATATTTGATATATATATATATATATATATATACAATCCAGACTAATAAATCCCTCCAAATCAGAGTTAGGAATAATTTCCAGAAACATTCTAAAAAGAATAAACACATCTATATTAGAAAATTATCCCTTAAACATTTGAAAAAAAGAAAGATTCATCTGACGCCATTAACTGGTTCCAAAATCTAAAATCTAAAAATAAAGCCACTTTTATCCAATTAGACATTATCGATTTTTACCCCTCCATTTCTAAAGAGTTATTGGAAAATGGCTTAAATTTTGCTAAAAACTATACAGAGATTACTGACGAGGAAATAAAAATCATAATGGATTCAAGACAATCTGTACTGAGACTTAATGGCACTACTTGGTTTAAAAAGAACAAAGACAATTTTGATGTCCCAATGGGAGCATTTGATTCTGCTCAAATAGCGGACCTAATAGGGATATATATTTTAGATATTCTGAGCAGATTCCTTAACCCGCAAAATGTAGTGCTTTACAGATGATGGTCTCATTATTATACCTAACTCTAATGGACCTCTAACATCCCAACTCCAGAAGAAAATAATTAAGGCATTCAAATATATAGGATTTAAAATAGAAATATCATCGGACCTGAAAATGGTAAATTTTCTAGATGTAACATTTGATCTCAAAAATAACACTTATAAACCCTTCCAAAAGGAGAACCAATTGCCCATATACATTAATATCGACTCAAACCACCCTATGGCAATTATAAAACAGACCCCTAACACTGTAAATACTAGAATAAATAAACTATCCTCTAATGAAAATATCTTTTATCAAAATAAATCAAAATACAATCAAGCCCTATTAAAAAGCAAATTCAAACAAACACTCACTTATATAGATAAATCTATTAACAACACATCTTCTAAATCTAAAAATAGAAAAAGGAAAATTATATGGTTCAACCCACCTTTCTGTAAGCTTTCGAACATTAATATAGGAAAGTACTTTCTTAAACTTATAGATAAACATTTTAAAAAAGATAAACTATTAAAAAAGATGTTCAATAAAATGAATTTAAAAATTAGCTATTCCTGCATGAACAACATAGAAAAAATTATTAGCTCCCACAATAGCAACATTTTAAATAAATTTCATAATCAACTACAAAAAGATCCTAATACGAGCCAAAAGACCAAATCTACCTGTAACTGCAGGGAAGGATCTGTTTGTCCAGTAGAGGGAATATGTTTGTCCGAAAACGTGATATACGAGGCTACAATTTTCCCCAAGGAAGATATCAAACAGAAGAAGATCTACATAGGGATATCGGCGGGAAATTGGAAGCAACGGTTTTATAACCATCGCCAATCCTTCACATATAAATCAAAGAAACATCAAACTGCACTTTCTAAGCATTATTGGGAAT